CAGAACAATTGATCAATCTAACAACCTGCGTCCAGAAGTTGTGAATGCTCCAACACTGGAAGTTTTTAAGAAGAGATTGGACAACTATTTGTCTGAAATGGTATAGGGTTTCCTGCCTGAGCAGGGAGTTGGACTAGAAGACCTCCAAGGTCCCTTCCAACTCATTCTATTCTGTTCTGTTCTGTTCCGTTCTGTTCTATTCCCTTCCCACTCCTAAACATTCTTATTCAAAACTTTATTTTCAGCCTTTCTGGAAATTGTTTCAAGGAAACTACTGTGTTTTATTTAATGATAATACAATTTCTGTATGCCAAAATTAAAAATCCTCCCATAGTATGGAACAATGCACAAACGAAATAGTGAAGGCAAGACAAGGCTTACTTCAATATTTGATTTCACCAATATAATTATGGCATGAATAAGAGTAAACACGGAAATACAAAGATGTCCCAACCATATGTAATGCTAGTCACACTTAAAATGAGAACACAGTGAACATGGAATTGGCTATTTCTGTTCTGAAAGCTAGTACAAATTAAAATGTCCAATCATTAATCATACACAGTATGCACAGCTTTGATAACTGTATTTTTGGGTACAAGTCCAAATTTATTGCTATGAGTCATTCCAAGCAAGTTATCCATGCATATATTTCCATACACACTATTTGAATGCAAAACACATATCCCCATACCCGCCTTTTAGCAGAAAGCTTTCAAATCTGATTAACCACACTCTGTAGAAACTGCTGTGCTAAAATCTTATTCTCTCCAAGGACTACCAACCAAGTTAAAACAAGCCTTGCAAGAAAAATGAGCAAAAAATTCTAGTGCTGATGACATAAACTAGTGCTGTATAAATATTTTAAAAACTAAATGCAACGGTACAAAAAGCAAAAGGTGTTGTGAATCACTCTTGAACCATAAATCTATGGGTGAGGTCTGACACAAGGCAATCTGATTGGGTTTTATATTCAAAATTAAAAATCTGAACCTTTGTGTCAGTAAAAATATCGGTGACACCCAGTTCATTAATTTAAATGAAAACTATTTCTAGTCTATTCTTACATTTCTCGAGAGTATCTATTCAAATTCATTGCGGAGCCTACAAGAAAGATATGAGGGAGCAAATGAATATGTAGTCTTCAGCAGGTTCACTAAGAAGTTATTTCTCACAGTTAAGGCTGTTTGTACTAGAATGTCTGAATGCTGCCAGAATAAATAAGACAAGAAGAAAAATAAACGGAGTAAATAGGTTTACAAGTATAGCTTCCATATCTGGGCTGCAAAAACACAGACACTAGAAGGCAGCAAAGAATACAAAAGGTGCTAATCTGAATGTTTGTACCCCAGATATGGAGGTCCTGTCTATCTCAAAATGAGAGCCAAGGCCAGTTGTGAACAGCCAGGTGTGGAGTTGTGACATTTTCTGTGATAAAGATGGTTCCTATGGGAAGAATTATAAAGCTGATTTGCTCATATGGGGAAATTAATCACATGTGACCATAAGGATGAACCAATCTGATGGCCACAATTCCTTTCAAAAGATCGGGTGATGACATTGAAATATAAATTGCACCAGGGAGACATTAGGCTTTATTATCCATGCCAACTCATCTTGTACGTTACAACATGGCAGGGTAAAGCCACTGCTCCACCTACAGGACTGAGTCACAAGGATATTATACCATATTCCTTTTAAAGAACTATGGCCAATTCAATGCAAATGACAGGTGTCTGCTCTCCTGATTACATTCCTCCTACAAAGCTGTATACCAGCCTGAGTTTTGAGCAGAGATGGCAAATTTCAGGAGGAACAGCTCTGCCTTTTCTAAATTGTTTGCACAATTTTTCAAGAATCAATAACAGGGAATATACTGCATTAAGATTCCACTCTTTTAAGATTCCACTGAAATAAAGATTCGACTAAATAAATATGGGGATCTGATCCAACACCTCAGAGCAAAACAGCAAACAGAAGGAATTCACACTGGATTTGACACTTCCTCTGTAGGCCTTCCTTTAACAAGCACAACACAAGATAGTACAGAAATGTTTTCCGATAGATTTAAGTTCCCCGTCCAGGCATCTCAGTAATTATTATTCAGTAGGTAATAATGCCTACTGAATTAATTCATAAAGGCACAGATAAACGAGGCAGCAGACGGAACCTGCTATAAAACCCTTATTCCAGGACTTCTGTCACACAAGCCATTAATTCAGGATCCAATCCGGGTCGGTCGGATCTTGCAACATTATCCTAGGACACGTATATTCGCCTTCATTCGTGAAGCCATTCATCCCTTTGAACATTCACACTTTCATTTAGTCTGGTGATTTTTTTTTTTTTTATTCCCGATCATGACAGCTGAAGCATCGCCGTTCGAGTTAACAATAAAGTTACAAAGCAGTCGCAAACGCGAATCCTCATCGCCCCCATTCACGGGAGGTCCAGTTCTCCCATTCTCAAAACTTACTCCCGCCGCCGAAAGCTCTCGCCCTACATACATACAGCTAACACAACAAGGCGCCGCCGTTCTCCCTGCTGAATGACTCGCGCGCCACCAGCTCGGAGCGCACCTGGTGTTTACAGTATCTGCGCCCTCCGCCTGCTGCATAACATCCGGATACCGTCCCGGACAAACCGGTCTCCGGGAAAGGGAAGGGAGAGAGAGGGGGGGGGGCTCCAGGTGCGCCTCTTCCAGGGGGCCCTGTTCGGAAAGGGGAGAGAGCGCGGGAGAGGGGTGGACGCACCTGCTTCGGCAGCGGAAGAAGCTTCGCCCAGCTTGTGGCCGGCGGCTGCAGCGGCGGCGGGGGCTGCCGACTCCGCCATCTCGCCTCGGCGAACTCTCGGCCGCCCCGCCCAACAGCGCTTCTGCCCCACCCCCGTGGGACGGAACGTGGCCCGGGCAGGTGAGACGGGGAAAGAGCGCGCGGGAGCGCGCGCGTCACGGCAGCCTGCCTGGCGGAGGGAGATCAAAGTAGGATCGGCTCCCGGGGTTTCTTCGGCCCGCAAAGCGCCCTCTGGCGGGCAACTGAGAGAAGGCTACGGCTGATGCCCTGTGGGGAAGATAGATATCCGAGTCCGCAGCTTTGGAGAGCTAAACCACACATTCAGATTTCCACGCGCCGAATGGCAAACTAACGAGCTGTCTTTTAGTCTGGAGTAAAAAGGCTATGTTGTTAGTTTGGGGTTCAGTACACTCGTGCAGCCCGGAAAAAAGGCATCGGATAAGCATTTCATGCTTCCAGGCATGCTGACTTCCTGTTACCGACTTACTTAGCCTTGAGAGGCATTAAGGTGGAGGAACGTCAGTGGGAGACGGTTTCCTTTGAATGCAACTGCTGGAGGATTTGCTACCAAAAAGGAAAGGGTTTCTCAGTCTGAAATTGAAAACGATAGGTCTGCTTAATAAAAAGGAGCAAAAGCCCTTTGATTTCTGTGAAACTGATTTTTCCGACCAGTGTCGATTTCTTAACTTTTTCGGCTACTTTCATCGTGTCTGCGATGAAATGGTGTTACTAATACCATTTCATATATATATATATATATATTTTAGCTTCCCTTGGTGGCGTCTTAAGTCATTGCCGGTTCTATGTATATAAAAAAACATCCGCAAAGAAGCTCGAGCAAAAAAAACCGCGTGCAAAATTTAATGTCTCGGCCAGAGCAGCTGCTAATTAAAACTGGAAATCTGTTGGCCGAAATCGAAATCTACAAAAATACCCGATAGACATAATGAGCGGTGAACGTTTGAATAAATTGGTGTCAAAGTCAATGGAGGTCGAGCCCGCGCTGATAATGCTAAGGGTGGCTGTAGCAAGTTAATAAACTACAGCTTCCAACCGAAGGAAAGCATCATAAACGATATTGAAACAACGTAGAAGAGACAATGTACTGTATTTTCACCAGGAAGTTACTTCAATTAGGATTCTATTTAAATAGACTTCTTGTTCCTCAAGTCTTTATCAGATTAAGTTTTACTTAAGTTTTACGCTTATTCTTCATAATTTAAATATTTTCCAACATTTTTAGCATCAATTCACCCAACAAATATATTAATGTTTCTCAGTAATTTTATTTTATGCGCCAGTTTTGTTTGTGGGAAAATGTGCAAAATGTGAAGAGTGTGCAAAATCAAGGGACTTCCCAACCCGCATCTACTGCTTGGCTTGCTTGGGATCTGTTCTTTCCTAGCCAGACCCCACAGCCTGGACACGACCTTGATGGCAATACTTAGCTCACAATGCAGATGTATGAATTAGATATCACTGAAATGCTTATGATATCTAAACTTGAACTGATAATGACATCCTCCACTGGTTTTCATGGGAAAACAGACAGAAAGTGGAATCCTGAGGAAAGGATCTAGTAAGGATCCTTTCAGATTAGCAGTTTTTGTATTCTTTGCTGCCTTGTAATGTCTGTATTTTTTTGCAGCCCAGATATGGAAGCCTTACCTGTAAACTTATTTACTCTGTTTATATTTCTTCTTGTCCTATTTCATCTGGCGGATCTCTTCCTGCCGACAGTGGCTTTATGGAGACCCTGGAAGGAAATACAACTGGAAAGTCTCAGGAGACGGCAGATGTACCTGCATAGGTGTACAAGCATGTGTATACAATTGTTGGGGCCCAGAGTTGAATATAGCTTTAATGGCATATTACTGAGTATACGCCAAAGGACAAAGATTAAAAAAAAAATCACATTTAACCACATTTAATGATATTTTCACGCCATATATATTTAATAAAAATTCTGTGTGAATTCACTGGCAACTTTTGTAATTGTAGTCTTCAATCACTAGGACTAGGTGTTTGAGCATTATATATAAACCTGGTAATCACTGTAATTCTGTACTACAGCATCTCTAGATATTCTTTCTTGTCAGTTCTTCTATTTTCATTCATTTTATCATCATCATCATCATCATCATCATCCTAATTTCCTTCATTTTTAAAACTAACTTGGTGTTAAAATAATTAAGAAATATGCCCACATTTTGTATAATTCTTTATTTTTTAAATGTGTATCACAATGGATAGCTTTAAAACAAGCTAACAGTACTATATGTAATTCAGGCATATGTAACTGGTACAGTTCAATAATACATAAACAACACTAAAAAAGACACAAATACACTGTAGACTGGGATTTAAGTTACTAAAAATAAAACAATGTGACATTTAAGGAAGGATTGTTAAGTACAAAGTGGTGTAAAGGTCAACATACAGCATAGAATGAAAAACTATCCAATATGTTCTACATATCATTTCACTTGTGGATTCCATCTCAGTTTAGGAAAATGTCCAAGGATCTTAAGCAAAACATGTCATCCTCAAAAAGCAATACTCATGGGCCTTTGTCTGCAATACTATGAACCTTTCACTTTAAGAATGATTTCGGTTGCATCTGAAACCTCTCACAGATGAACAGATGTCTCCTATTCCAAGAAAAGGTCCCAGGAACACCATGCCTAATGCAGGCCCTGGTTACACAATTAACCTGTAAAGTTAATTTTCACATTTGATTTTGTTTTAGTGATACACAGTTGCATACAATCTTACAAAAGTCCTGTAGGTAGAATATGTTTAACTGTTTGTGAAGGGAGACTGAAATATCATGTGAATACTGTAATCTAATTAACTAACTGTTGGGAATTATAGAGGGCTAAAGTTCTGATCAATTGCGGGCAGATAAGGAAATTGATTTGATAGGATTAATAGAGCACTAACTCTTTCCCCATTTTTGCTACAGAGATAAAATCCTAGAAAGGCCTTGCAAAATCAGAACTTTTTAGTCACTCTGTCATGTTCCTTCTTTCCTCTCACTATTTTTTTTTATTTGATTTTGATATGAGGAGGAAAGAAGCAAGACATGTTAGCTCGGTGACCCTCTCTGCAGTGACTATGAAGGTCTACACCAGGTCGCTGATGATCATGCACAACTGGTATAGGGATATCAATTAAGTACCTCAAGGATGTCAATTAAGTACCTCAAGGTTCCCTTGGTCAACCATGTTGTGTGAATATAACTAACAGTCTGGATAAGATGAATTTTGTTAAATGGTAGGTTAGAAAGGGAAAAAATTCCTGAAAATACTTAAGATAAAATAGTATTCAATGTTGTAGACCGATTTTTCAAGAAGAATAAGAATAGTTGCAGCCAGAAAGCTGCAGTGTTCTTTAGCAACAGTAAACAAATACTGGATTAAAGTGCAACAGCATCTCTTGGGGTGGGGGGGGGGAGAAATCTTCAAGGAAAGCTCCTGTTTTGTGTTGAGATGGAAGATTGCCTCTGCTCAGGGGCAAGTGTGCTTCTCTCGAAAATCAGAGATTGCCTTCCATAGCGTGCATATGATCCCACCTCTGTAAAATAAAAGTCATAGTAGTTTTTAGTCCGTATCAAGTATCACAAAACACCGACTATAGTAAAGAAATAAATATGCATAACCAGATCAGTGAATCTTAACAGCTATATTTATATAAAACATTGAACTTGCTTATTTTTAACCTTGGTTAGCATTTTGGTGGCTGATCATGTGTGAACCCAGGTCATTTGACTGTTTATGATTCAACTTAATCTGCAGATCCAGAAAATGGGTTAATCCAGCAATTAAATTATGCACTAGAAACAGTCACTAATTTTAATTCCTACTAATGTACAAGTGAAATGAAGCACGTGATTATTGTGGGAAAATGGGGGGGGGGGACTTAATCATGTGATTCTGCTTCTGGTATGTCTTAATGACATTTACGCACCAACCTGGTGTTGTCCTTATTAATATATTGTTTCATTCTATTTCAAAAAACTCTGTAATCCTCTCAGAACGCTCCAATTAAGCTTGTTAGAAATATCTCCATATCTTTTTTTTTTGTCTCATAATGTTAAAACTTGTATTTTAGCTTAAAGTTGGTGCTTTAAAAATACATTTCATTACCTTTCCAATCTTTTCTAACATTCAATATCCAGTGGCTTTAATTCTGAAGAACAAACTGGCCTATTATCGTTTCAGCAATGCTGAACCTGTAATGCTCCATATAATAAACTGAACCCAGCAGTTAATGTTTTTCATATATTAAAAAAAATCAAATATACCAACTCACCAAGGCAAGCTTTTTGTAAGCTGCCTTAGGCTAGGGAATAGATTCAAGAAGACAGAAAAGATAAAGGAAGAGAGAAGGAAATCAGAGATTACGGTCATTTTTATTTAGTTAAGAGCAACAAATGAGAATGGATGTATTATAATGATTTGCATATATAATTTAGCAGTTGGACTGCTACAAAAAAAGCTATTATAAATACCAATGTGTTTAATGCTTCTTATTTATTAAACGTCCCCTAGTTCTATTAGTTTTTAATTGATGTCCTTAAAATTTCAGTTATCAATATTATGAAGTAGTCTTGACTAAACGGTATTTGTCATGTTCTCCTTCAATTTCAATTGGAAAATGTGGCGACTTGTAACCCAAATCAAGGATAAATATTCAAAGAATTCAGAAGCCAAAATGATGCTAGTGATTGGGCTTGTCTAATCAAGAGCTAGTGTTACTTTATGCACAAAATAACATTTATTAGATTACAAAATTAACATATGTTCAGCTATACCTATGCGCAAAGTGGACCTATCAGTTTTTCTTCTGTTTCCACATACTTTACAGCTATATCCTTGATGTATATAATGCTTCTTCTCCTTATAATAACTTTATGGAGAAATATTTTAGAACACATGCACAATTTATGATAAATGTAAACAATAAAGGTAAAGTATATTTTCTAGAGTTTTCATTAAATAACTATCATCGTGAGTAGTATAAATTATTTTTTTAAAAAATACTTACCTGAGTCTAAGGCATTTTAAATCATCCCTGGTAACATAGCAGAGTATATCCGTCAGTGTGTATTCTTCTGCTAGAAACTAAAAAAAACATAATGGCTTAGTAAAAGTTATGCTGATGGAGCTGCAAGTTATTATTCCATTTTTGCCCTCAGTTTTTTATAATATGCCTGACTAATTAAACATGTATTTGTCCTGAAAGGTGAAATTTGTCCTGGAATGTTATCAAAATGTTTAATACAGTACAGGTAGTCCTTGACTTATGATCACAACGGAGCCCAACATTTCTGTTGTTAAGTGAGACATTTGTTAAGCGAGTTTTGCCCCATTTTACGACTTTGCTTGTCACATTTGTTAAGTGAATCACTGCAGTTGTTAAATTAGTAAACAGTTGTTAAGTGAATTTGGCTTCCCCATTTGACTTTGCTTGTCAAAAGATTGCAAAAGGGCATCACATAATCCTGGGACACATAAATATAAACAAGTTGCCAAGCATCTGAATTTTGATCACGTGATCATGCAAAGGTCATCACTATGAAAAATGGTCATAAGTCACATTTTTCAGTGCTGAATGGTCACTAAACGGTTGTAAGCCGAGGATTAACTATATACATATAAACGAGATTAATACAATAATTCATTTTATGGCACATCACATTTTATCACTGTTGCAAAAACTAATCAATACTGAAATGAGCTGAATTCTCAAGGTCAGCCACTACAAAGAAATATAATCAAGCACTAATGAAGTAATGCTATTTAAAAATTTCAGGCCTATTGATCTAAAAGTAATACATGTAAAACGCTCTATAAAACCTTTTTTTGACCACTTTTTTATCTTTGTTTTCTAACTTTTCAAACTTGTTTTCTAACTTTTGTTAGAAAAACCCTCTGAAAAGATTTCACTAGCTTGACTAGTCTAACTGAAGTTTTCTCTTTGAAAGAACTTCTGTTAAAGAGATAAGCAAAAGCCACACTTCATGCTTAACCAGGGCCATATGCCTGGCATGGGGGGGGGGGGGAGGTGAGAGGTAAAAAAAAGTTTGTCATAGAAGATGCTATCATACATAACTTGGAAAAAAAAGTAACTTCTGGCATTGGGGGTAGGTAGGTAATTTTACTTTGTAGAAGACCCAAGAAATATATTTCCTACCCTGTTTATAGTTTCCTTGTCAGCACCATGAATTTTCAGCCAGTTAATAAGATCTGGATCCTCAATTTCTCTATCCTGTGTACTAAAGTGAGAGACAGACAGGCCAGAAATATCTAGAAAAAATTTAACACGAGTTAGCATAGTTATAAGATGATACACAATTCCCAATGTAGCTACACTTTTTCCAGACTAATACATAAAAATTGCATATCACACCCTCCACTCTGAGGTGCTCAAGTTTAGTTGAACTGGAATTACCACCACCCTCAGCAAATATTGTTATGATAGTGCAAACTGGTTGGGGATTATGAAAGTCATAACAAAACACATTTGGAAAACACATGATGAGAGATTGATATCCTTAAAATTAGCCCTGTACGCATAAGTGAAGCATGAGAGATTATGAATTTTTTTAGTACTGGGTTGGTTTTAACTATGATTCTAACCATAATTAACCTTAATTAACTGGAAAAAAATGATTTCAAGAGAAGGAGTCTCTTCTGAAAGTAGTCTTAACAGTTTAAATAAATCTTTAATCTGTACAAATGCAACGAGCATTTTAGTCATAGTTTCGCGGATTACAGATACAAATCTATACGGAATTCAATTAAATTTTCTTGGCTTTGTTTTGGAATTCTCTCATAACCCTGTTAAGAACTGCATGCTAAATCGGACCAAGATCAAAAAGATCGAGAATTTCATTTGTATCAGTAGCCATTCAAAGGCAGAGATAAAAATAAAAATGCAGGAGAAGATAGTTGCTGCTATGTCTTTTACTAGTACCCAGAGGTGGTGTCCAATCGTGGCAACTTTTAAGACTTGTGGACTTCAGCTCCCAGCATGGCTGGCTGGGGAATTCACAGGTCTGAAAGTTGCCGAAGTTGGATACCCTGGGCTACAGTATATAATCTGTAACTGCTTTCCCATCTATATAGGGCAGGGATAGGCAACCTTGGCTCTTTTATGACTCGTGGACTTCAGCTCCCAGAATTCCTGAGCCAGCATGGCTGGCTCAGGAATTCTGGGAGCTGAAGTCCACGAGTCATAAAAGAGCCAAAGTTTCCTATTCCTGATATAGGGCATTGTGGCTAGCTAAAGCAATCCAGTAAAAACCAATAAACACTTAAGAAGCTCATTCTTTTAAAAAAACATATTATTTAGTTTAAGAAAAAAGTCTTGACTCCTTTTTTGAAAGCAGAAAGTTGGGAGAAGGAAGGAGAAGACGGTCAAACCCTATTCACTCTTGAGAATCTGAGCAGCAGTTAATTGTTATGTAGTGACATTTTTACTCATCTTTATAATAATAATAATTAAAAAAAAACCTAGTTCTTGTTTTCCTTGAGAGGAATAGGAAACACGTTCACCCAGCTGCTTTTCTATGCTTCCTTCCTATCCTAAGACCAACAGGAAACCATGCTGCCCACGATCTTGCTGACATTGCAATATATCCTTCCCGGATACCTGGAAAAGTCTGTTTTGCTCTCGTCTAGACAGCTTTAACACACAACATTCTATGAGCCTCAGTTGAAATTCCAGTCCTATCAAACATGATTCACCATGGGAGAAGCCTCTTCCAATTGACACATACAGTGCTCTAGTTACTCCATGCATTGCATTACCACTTTTGGTTTTCTTTTTGCTGTGGACCAACTGGATTTTTTTTCTATTGAAATGATGGGTGACTTATTGACCACTGTGTGTGTGTGTGGGGGGGGGAATTAGACATTTTTTGGTATCACTTGGCCAATGGCTGTCAGGTGGGCAAATGTAATTGAGCTAAAAATTGAGAAAGGCATTTATTTATCTGTGAGGATTAATGAGGCCTTGTATACTACTATAAAATGTTACATAAGGAAGGGAAGTAAGGAAGCAGGGCTCCTTGTAGTAATAGCCATTGAGAAACCAAATGAAAGAGATGAGTCCTTTCCTTTTCCTTGGAAAACTGAATATATTAGATTGAATGTATTAAAGAGCTGTGGTTGTACAGTGGTTAGAACGCAATACTGCAGGCTAATTTTGCCAACTGCCAGCAGTTTGGCAGTTCGAGTCCCACCAGCTCAAAGTTGACTCAGCCTTCCATCCTTCCAAGTGTCAGTCAAATGAGGACCCATATTGTTGGGTGCAATATGCTGATTCTGTAAACTGCTTAGAGAGGGCTGTAAAGCACTGTGAAGTGGTACATAAGTCTAAGTGTTATCGTTAGTGCTATTGTTATTAGGACAAAGACTGGTTAGCCAATTTCAGGGCTTTCAATCTTTACATTGAGGCCTAATTAAAAACAAATGTCTTATAAAAGCCAGACAGTGATCTTCCCTTACAGCCAAAAAGGAGTGAGGAGTAAGAGAGCAGATTGAAGGCTGGATGGAAGGGGGTAGTCCCATAGAAAATCTGCAGAACCAATTGGAATTGCAAGCTGACACAGACCTTGTCGGTTCAAGCTGTCTCCATCATGTACATTAACGTGTGATATATTGCCTCTGGAGGTGAGGTAAGAGGAAAAATGCCATTCACATAAAAACCTGCAAATAGATGATGAGCTACAGGTAGGTGGCATGCAGAAATACTATCTGGAAATGGGCACTGGGCAATCCTTACACAGGGCTGAAAAACGTATGTGATTTTATCCAAAGTGTCCTTGTGAATGCATACATGCAGGATAGTAAAATTAACTTATCCTTTTGGCCAAAAAGGAAAAAAAAAAATCTGAAAAAGAAGTAGAGACTTCTTAGCTAATCGCATCTCCTTTCATGTTCTAAATAGGTTGTCATGTTTTTATTTCAATTGATTAACTCCCTAAAAGGAACTTTTAGTTGGTGAAAAAGTCATCCCAATTGGTGGGGGGGGGGAAAGCAATATATTGGAAGCAGTACGTTGGAAGGTTTGACTATATTGGTTTGGAAAGTGCTGGGAAGAACAATTACTTTTGAGGAGTTCAAATAAGCACCTATTGGTTGAGTCTTAAGCTTTAGATGCTTGATCTCCTGTTCTTTTTCTTCTATAGCATGGTGAAGGAGGGCTTGAAATTCTCTTTCCTTCTGCACTAGCTCTTCTAGTAATCTGTTAGAAATGAAAGGGAAATGAGAAATTTATTTGTTAAGAGCAAATCAATGTTTTTGAAAAGTAAAACTGTTACAGTATTGCAGTGTTTCCCAAACTTGACAATTTTAAGGCATGAGGACTTCAACTCCCAGAATTCCACAGCCAGCAACACTGGCTGTGGAATTCTGGGAGTTGAAGTCCACATGCCTTAAAATTGTCAAGTTTGGGAAACACTGCAGTATTGCATTAGCAATGTTCAAACACTCTCCCAATATCCTTGGGCAACTTCAAGATAACTTTACTGTCTACCAGGAAAAAGGTTATTTGGGCCGCAAACACAGAAGGCTCTTTTGTGCTTATATGTGACTAACATCCCCTTAAGTAAATTCATCTGTTTATTTTATTACATCATTTCTCCCTGCATATTGCATAGGTATTTCTAGGCAGAACACAGCAACATGATGAAGAAATCGAGCTGATTAAAAATTCTGTCAGAGAAAATATCCAAAAAGCTAAGCTGTGATTTATTAATGATCTTAGCTAAACTGTAAGATAAACCATGAGCTTCAGCACAAGCACAAATCTTTAACCGTTTCCAGTGTTTTGTGTGCAGGGGGAGAAAAAACTAAAACATAGCAGCTAGGGGCTATTGGCTAAATAGCCAAATGCATCTAGGAAAATTCCATCTTTAGTTATGAAGAAAGTTGTGTTTCTCCATAAAAGAGCTAGTGTAGAAGTAGGAGACACTCCCAGATTCTGAGCTCCTACTGGAATAATAATAGATGGAAATTGTTGTCAGAAGGGCCCTTACAGTACTGCATGGGCTGTTAGTCTGCTTCAGGTGCAATTCCAGGTGTTATGATTGACAAAGTCCTTTATGGATTGGGGCCTGGCTACTTGCAGCAAAAAGTTACTTCCGATAAAGCCTGATCACTGCAGGCAGTGTCTTCGTGTGGTGCAGTGGGAGACCACTTGAAGGGGGGTGCTTTCTGCAGGTGCTACCCTCCTGTGGTACACCATACTACTCGTTCTAAGAACTCTGTCTTCTTGATATTAGGAAATTGTTAAAGAAAAACCCTCTCAAAAGACATTTACAACTAGGGCAGTAGTGGCGAACCTATGGCACACTTGCCAGAGGCGCCACTCAGAGCCCTCTCTATGGGCATGCACGCCGACACCCCAGCCCACCTCCCCCATGCTCCCCTCATCAGCAGCTCCCCTGGAGGAGAGTCACCCCAGTGCGCAGCCCACAAGGAGCAGCGCAGCCAAGGACATGGCAGCCTGACGGGGGTCAAGACTCCGCCCTCGCGCCCTGTTGCATGCAATTGATGCTGCGGGGTGTGGATGGAGGGCGTGGCTGCCATGGCGCTGCTGGGCTGCCTGGGCGATCTGCGGTGGGCCGTGGAGGCGGTGAGTGACCCTGTGGATGGGCGGGGTGGGGAGGCAGGATGGGGGGTGGGGCAGGGCGCATGGCAGGGTGGAGTGGGGGGCAGGGTGGGGCAGGGCAGGTTTGGAGCACTTGGTCTCTAAAAGGTTCACCATCACTGAGTAGAGAATAAGGAATGGTTGTACCTGAGATGATTGGTGGTGTTATTAATGTGATTAATATGCATGCAATTATAGTTGCATGAGGACAATGTGAAAGTTGTTACTGCAGTACAGTTACTAATGATTTTTCACATAATTTAAATATTATATGCCCTCTTAACGTTTTGCTGTAATTTGCCTCAGTAATATCCTACTGAGACAGTGTGCCCTGTCACCTTCCACTGATTAAGGGCAGGATTGGTGCATTATTAAAACTGGATTGAAATAAAGTAAACTGGTTGATGAAGGTAACTTGAGACAAAGCCAGAAAAAAATGTCCACATGATACATGCATCCATGTTAAAACCTTGACCCAGTTTTGTAAATAGGGGAAATTTAGACTCACCTATTATTTTCCAATTTCAGCCTCCCAAGTTGAACATTCAGAGATCTCTGGGCAGCCTGAGAATCGTGAGATACTGTTGAACTAAGGGTGCTCACTCCTGAGGTAGCTACCGCATCATCCAATACAAGGCAAGGAACCTGAGCAGTTGTGTCAGGAGCATGTTCCTCTTCAGCTTCAATCTCATCTTGATCTGCATTATCGCTCTCAGATGCTAAGCTGAAGTGTGTCCTCAACTCTATAAGGGATTTAATTGTTTATTATCACAACAATGAAATTGGAAGCAAGTGTGATGACCTCAGAGTGCTATTTATCTAGATCAGGGGTAGGCAACCTTGGCTCTTTTATCATTCGTGGACTTCAACTCCCAGAATTCCTGAGCCAGCATGGCTGGCTCAGGAATTCTGGGAGTTGAAGTCTACAAGTCAGAGCCAAAGGTTGCCTACACCTGATCTTAATAATAAACTTAAAAACACTTTTATATAACAAGTTGAGATTACCAGTCACACTGAAGCGGATGTGCAACTCCTGAAACAAGAGATTCCAAAGTACCTGTGCTAATCATTAACAGCAAAAAAACAAAACAAAAAAAAAACCCCTCTTCCTTATTTTTGAGAAATTTCTAACCCTCTTGTGTTCCTTCTGACCTCTGGATTCTGTTCACAGGGTCCTTAGAGCAGAGGTCACCAACCTTTCTCGGCTGGTGGACTGGAGGAAAAGGGAGAGGGAAGAATTTTATATGTGTGCATGCGCGTGCATGCGCACGGGGCCACGAGCGCAAGGATGCTGCAAACGGGATGGGGCTAGTGCTAACCCTGCCCCATTCTTGTGTGGCATAGTGAGTTTCTATGCCTCGTGGCACAGTGGTGACCATTTTTGCACCTTGCAGCTCAGCGGTGGCCCGTTTTTGTGCCCTGTGCCATGGCAGCACCTAATTTTTGTGCCCCATAGTGTGGCGGCCCATTTTTGTGCCCTGAGGTGGCAGTGGCATCCCATTTTCGCACCCCGAGGCACGGTGGTAGCCCGTTTTTGCGCCCTGCGATGCGACATCCTGTTTTTGTGCTCCGCAGCCGCGGCGCTAGCACGAGTGAGGGGGCATGCGCATACACGTGCCGCACTGGCAAGTTGGGGATCCCTGCCTTAGAGGATCTGACTCTCCTAGAATCTAGCATACATATATGTTATTATGAATAGCAGAAATTTGTCACATGTCGGCAAAAATAATTTTTTTATTTGAAAACTAAATTTTTCTCATTGCTCTTTCTGCAATATTTTAAAATTCAAGATGACACAATCATTTCTTCTCAAATTTGCTACTGCTTGCACGTCTTCAGTCATTCTCTTATTGATGATATTGGAGAGCCAATCCCTTTGCTTTTTCTCTTAACCTTTTGGAAAATGAAAAGGCCTGCAACATATCTTGAAGTCTTGGATGAGTTGATTTTCCAACAGATGACCAAAGAATTGAAACCTCTCATTATTATTATTATGCTTCTCTACGATCATTCTATAAAATGGTTTAGGAAACTATTATATAGATCTTCTGTCTCATTTGGTGGTCCAGAGCATAGCCTCACAGTAAAACGTTGTTTCCCTTTCCTCCTATTCTTATGCTCAAATTCCTGGATCGCAATATGTGTGGGCACTTCTTTCACATATAAATATAACCTATAATGTATGCTTGCCCTTTGTCTTTCCCTTTGAATAAATTATATCCTTCAGTCCTTCTTTTCTACTCACCAGATTTCAGTAATACCTGCTAAACCGTATTTACTTTCCTGCATTAAACGTGTTCCTCATATTATGTACACTTATGTAGACACACTGGAAATTTCAGATCACATAACTTTGTCTATTCCTTCCTATGTTTATTCACATGCTCATTATTCAATTGCCTCAATATTCTGCATACTCCTCCCAGTCCCAATTCCAGTGATTGGCATTGCACTATTTTCTAGACTCCTTTCCCCACAGGATTCAATTAAAGCTTTGCAGATAAAGTATGCAAGATGATGATGATTGAAATGTACATGCCACCGACTCCTTCCTTTTTTTCTGAGGCACAGCCCATTTGTTGCCAGGAATCTCTTACCACTGCCGTATTTCAACTGGCATCATCTACACTGTTAGCTATTCACTTCCAATACTTTTCTCTTTCTTTTTTCCTCTGGCCATATCCTTTAACACAAAGAACTGAAACAAACCACTTGTGTCCCGGGCTTTTTTACCAACTGCCTTCCTTGCAGTGCCCTCAAGACTGTGTCTCTATCATGTGTTCCAGTTTGGATTGGCAGAAAGGGATGAATGTGCCAAATCATCCCAAAGTTGTTATTATCTTTTCAAAAGGTGACTGGACTTTCTTGGTTTCTTTCTTTGGAAATCAATCAATCACAATAGAGCTTGGAGGTCATCTAGTCCAGCCCCCTGCTCAAGCAGGAGTCCCTATATCTTTTAAGACAAGTGGCTGTCCAGTCTCTTCTTAAAAACTTCGAGTGACGAAGCACCCACAATGTCTGCATACTCTCAGCCTATCCTACCTCACAGGTAGAGGTGTGCCAGAGATGTGCCACGAGCTCTTTTTCAAAAGCTGGGATTAAAAATGTTACACACAATTATTATAGCTGGAAGCAGTTTGTTATGCTTCTCATCCAAGAATTCTTGGATTAAACCAAGAAAGTCCAGTTACCTTGTGAAAAAGAAAATCACCTTTGGGACAAGCATGATTGGGATGACTGAGAAATTCCATAGACATACCTTTACCCACTGCATTCAACTTTTTTCCTGACATACTCAACTCTAATTTCCATACAACCGGCTTGGCAAGACCAAATTCTTAGACATCGCCATTTTCATATTTTTTTAATCAAACCTTCATGTCTCAGAACAAACCATATGCTACCCAGTTCCTTTCTACCAGCACGTTCGTATCTTAAACATTCTCCATCAGTTTTTCCATTTTGCTACACATTTTATAAAGATTTATCATTTTTTTCTTTGCTTTTATATATAATTTGCTATCATTTGCTATTCTGTATCAAACCTAACTATCTTGGTTTTGATACATTAATTTTCAGATTCATACTACTTACTGAATCATACAATCCAAAATTTAATACACATAACGGGATCACACCAACAACAAGTATATTATCTGGTTTGAACATCCTACTCTGCTGTATTTAGTTTTTCCTCACAGCCAATATTCATATCCTTGCAATCAGAATTCCTGCACACAACTTACATTTTCACTTTTCGGTTCCACTTTTTGACATTTCATTATCATTTTCACACAATTATCAAAAACACTCTACCAGAATTTTATCCCAAATTATTACCTTCATGTTTAATTCATTCCAATTTGCTAAAGGCTCACTGCTACAGTATTTCTTTTCAACCACTTAAAACAATGTACATGGTTTTATTTTTATCAAAACAGCCATTCTTTGCAACTAAGTTTAACTTCATGTTACACTATATCTTTTTTTTTGCAGCATTCACGTTTATATCATTAACAATGAAATATATCATGCTTTCATATTTACATTCATTTTTTGTCATGTGTTCATATTGATGTATGTAGAAATCATGTATTCAAATTCAGAATCCAGACTTTTTTCTAAGCACATTCCTCACCCATTCATGTCAGTTAACAGAATAATTGCCCCTCCCAATTTTCTTCATTCAAAACAGTACAGAATTTTGCTTAAAACCCATTATGTTTTATCTGTCATAATTACCATTCACTGGACTGCAACATGAAACTACCACAACCTTTGGATTATTATTTTCATACATTACCACAATAATATAGATGACATCTGTTCATTCACAATTAAACCTACTCCTTTAGCTCCTTCTTTATGTTTATGAGCTTTATTCCACAAGTTTAGATCACCTTCCTTCAGACCTACTATATAACATCCTTGTCCTCTCTTAGTTTCACAGACATACAACATACTGACCCTTCTTTTCTTCAATTACATTCATTATTCTTAAATTTCAAGTCACAACCTTCCATGTGACTTCTTCACTACCAGAGTGGTCCATAAATAATTGACCTGGGTTATGAAAGCTTTCACATAATTATTTTTAGTAAGATAGAGAAGGTATAGCTACGCCACATATAATATTCCTACTAATGGTAACAACAGTATCATTTTTGGTATATTTTGGTCAATATGATGTAAGCTCAATCAAAGCCCAGTTTTATGTATTTGCTTGTTTATTATAAGCTACCCATCTTGCCTAGAGGTGACTCTAATTTTACTCAAACCAAGTTCACATTATTCTATGCAAACTATGATTTCTAACTTGGAGACTACTTTGAAAGTTGTCATATTGCTGGCCACATCTTATCAACTAGGAAGGATATGTGATACACTGGCACATACATAGGACATGTAAAACTAATATATATTCACAACTCAGAAATGAACAGGAATATACAAGTATATAAAGTATGGCAAATCCAGCAGCTTTTCCTTCCATGTTAAGTATGCAAGTAGCCTAGTTCAGAAAATTATTTTAAAAAGTGACAAATATCTTACCAGGTACCAAAATTGTAATAGCAGTCTGCACAGCTTTACGGATTATGCTATCCAGCGCAAACATCCAATGTGGTTTAATATTATGTGTTCGTAGAACTTTATTCACCTGGAAAGAGATACTAGAATTGTGAAACTATTATTAATTTTTAAACAATCATCATGTAGATAATTCAGTCTGGATATACCATGTTCACCACTACCACCCTTATTAAATAACCAGTTTATCCTCTAAGAAGTGATCAATATTTGAAGAACAATATATTTCTGAAAGACTAATTTATACCCATTTGTATGGATTCACCTAATTTATAATTTATTTCTACTAACCAGAATAACACAAAATGTTGTGTTATTTTAGTTATTTAATGAATAGCAACTAATCTGTTTATCTGTCTTCTATGCAAGGTTTTTCATATCTAACAATATCTAAATACGTGCATACCTATTATTAAATCTATAAATTATTTTCTGAGTTATCAAATATATATCACACAATAATAAGAAGCTACCATTCACTGACAGAAGAAATGCAACTGTAACACCTAAATAAACATTAGAAATCTACAAATATATAATAATACTCTTATTATTCTGTGAGAGGGACATTGGAGTCCTAGTGGTCAATCACTTGACTATGAGCCAGCAGTGTGCAGCAACAGCCAAAAAACCTAATACAATCCTTGGTTGTATAAACAGAGGCATAGAATCAAAATCATGCAAAGTATTAGTACAGCTTTATAAATCCTTAGTAAAACCACACCTGGAATACTGCATCCAGTTTTGGTCACCACATTACAAAAAAGATGTTGAGACTTTGGAAAAAATGCAAAGAAGAGCAACTGAGATGATTAAAGTCCTGGAAACTAATATATATGAAGAATAGTTGCAGGATTTGGGTTTGGCTACTCTAGAGAAAAGAGGACTAGGGGGGGACATGATAGCAGTACTCCAGTATTTGAGAGGCTGCCACAAAAAGGAGGGGCTCAATTTATTTTCCAAAGCCCCAGAAGGCAAGACAAGAAACAATGGATGGAAACTAATCAAGGAGAGAAGCAACCTGGAACTAAGGAGAAACTTCCTAACAGTGAGAACAATTAATCAGTAGAACAACTTGCCTTCAGAAGTTAAAGGTGCTTCATCACTGGAGATTTTTAAGAAAAGACTGGACAGTCACCTATCTGAAAGGGTATAGGAACTCCTGCTTGAGCAGGGGGTTAGACTAGAAGACCTCCAAGGTCCCTGCCAGCTCTATTCTGATTGATTATTCAATTTTGGAAACAATAAAAGATGTTTTATCCTTCCTCCCAACATGTGGGCTGGAGAAATGAATGATACTCTTTTTCTCTACATCTCGAAGATCAGAAAGTCACATCATGTTCACCAAGAAACAGAATCTTTGTATAATCTTCCGAAATGGAAGGATACAGCCTCAAGCTATCATTACTAAGCAGATGCCCATGCAGAAATTCATCTAAACTGAAAAGTCTCCGCTAAAGAAATTTTGAAATGTTTATAATCTTCATGACTTGATGGCCATGTCAGTGCCTCTGAAGATCATCGGCTGGGAGACTAATGGCCTTCCTTATGCAGTTCGTTGGCCACTGTGAACTAGACTGCTGGACTAGATGGGCCAGGGGTCCAATCCAGCAAGGGACTGCTGATGTTCTTAAAATTAGCAAAACAAGAAGCCCAAAATATACTTACTGCATCTTGGAAACCAAAGAGTACTAACTGAACTTGGCTAATGCCATGACTGTCGAAGTCCAACTCCAGTTTCAGCTTTGAAAGTGTATTTGCAATGATTTTGCGATCTGTTGATCTTACAAATTCTCTGAGGCTAGCAACTAAAGTTGTAATGTGTTCCCATTTCAACTTAGGCTCTTCAGGACCCTGTTACAACAACAAAAATAGCTAATTACATTTGTAAAACTGTGGATAGTATTAATGAAAATTAAGAATATAGCTCCCTGTTTGTGTATTTATTTATTTGCTGCCCATCTCTTAACAAAACTTTATATATTTATTTTTATTTATAACATTTGTTTATTTATGAAATTTATTGATCGCCCATCTTCTCATAATCATATCATATCATTCTCCTGGATCCCGCCAGCTGGAACCCGCAGCATGCCTCTTCTGCCGGCACAAGTTGGTGAGCCAATCTCAGTGAGATGAGATGGACCCATGCCATTTCAATGAGGTTTCCCCAAAAAACTATATTACATATATTTTTGTGGTTTACTAAGTGTGCATTAAAACTAACAGGCTTCAGTTAATAAGGATATAACTATAGTCCGTGTTACATATGGTCCCTGATCTGGCAACAGACTACCGGTACAAATGTTTTTGTAGTAAGGGTGAGTTTTGAAAGAGCTACTATGGTGTTTATATCCTTTCTGCGGTATGGTATATGATTAGGGCTGTTGAAACAGGATGCCAAATTCTGGACAATGAGAGAAACGTAAGTCACAAAGGTTCAATTTGAAGAGAATGTAATAATGTTGTTTTCAGTTATTCAGAGTACAAAATAGTTCATCCAGTAACTCAGTCAACATTAGTAAAAGTTGTATCCAAGATCATCTCAGTAAGAATTAGCTTTTGTTTCCATCTTCTGCAATTCTCTGAGGAACAATTTAAAAAGAAGCCCTTGGAAGAGTTATGAGCTTTGCCTTTGATTAATTAAAGTTGAGTCATAAAAGAGACTGGAAGCATAACAAGTATGTCTTTATATGTGGAATGTCACTAGAGAATGTTACTTTGAAGCAAACCATTTCCATTTTTTTCTTGTAAATTCAAATGTTATGACCTAGAAATGATAAAATTAGAATCACTGGCATAATGGTTCAGACTGAGCAGCACTGGAATAGATCTACACATCCACAAGGGTAACTCAGACTTGACATAAACCTACACACAGTTGAATCATGGAATACCAAAGTAAAGGAACTATGTGCCATCCACATATTAAAATGCAACGTCTGCAATGTGTTTATACTGTGAGGGTTATTCTTTTGGAATAACAATTGGTATCAGTTCCATGATTCTACTGCTCTTGTCAATTTCTATATTAATTTTCTGAGAAATATTCAAAGCTATAAAAGCTAAAGAAAATGGTTTCTAATACATACATTGACACAGAGGATTTTAAAGATTAATATTTGAATGAAGTTAAACTTCTCTTTTTAGGACTGATTGATAACCAGTTAGATTAGACATGATAGATTATAGAAAGAAGAGTGTCATGATATAACTTTAGAGATAGAGGATAAAATATAATTGTAGTTATGATTGCTGTGTGGAATATCAGAAGCTACTCCCTTATACCATTGTATCTTTCTTTATATCTTTCTCTTTTTTCTTATTTTCTTCTCTTTTTTTTCCAATTGCACTTTTAGCTTTTTTGTTATTTCTCTCTTTTTTGTTTCTCTGTTTTAATATAGTTTGCACTAGTTCTTATTATTGCTCTTTAAACTTTTAACAAAAATACATACACACAAAAAACCCTCTTTCATATTCATCAGATTAACTGTTTCAAATGGGCTTTGACTGAAATTTGCACATGGGAAATAGAACAGATTCTTATGAAAGTTTGAAACCCAAAGGAGAACAATACTCTCAATGTGTCTTTTTCTGGTCCTGGTTTTCCAAAATGACTTTAATTGTTGTCTTACAAGCCATAAACTTAGAAAAAACCCTGAAAACTATGGACAACTGCATTATGTAATTGTTACATCCAAAAGTGTAACACTCCTATTTACAGTTGTCTCTTTATTACACTGTATACTTATACCAGTAATACTTTTTCTGTATTGACATAAAATATACAGAAATAAGTGACTTTGAACAACATTCTCAAAATATTTCAGCATCATTTGACATTACATACCTAATGCATAATTCAACTTCGTTACTTAATTTTTTATAAAATCAACATAACTAACATTCTGCCATTGATTTTTAAATACTACCAAGGATGTCTTAACAGAAAACCAAAATAATGTTAACAATGCAGAAACTTAAGCATATACAATTTGTATAGTATTTAACTCTTCTATGCTATATTTCTGACAAATACATAGAAAAACTGTTTCTGGTTTGGATAATCAGAACATACCTAATTGTCAGGAAATTATTATTTTTCTGCATAATTCTATAAGCATTTCTCAATAACATTTTCAGAAGGGATCTCTTAGAAGTAAAATCATTACATAAATGAGCATTAATGGCAGAGAAGTGAAGGTACAACTATAATTTAATCTTGCAATTGTTTGCACTTGAATATATTTGTGCTTTGTAGGATTCCTGAAAACCTGCTAATTGCCACCAGTAAAGAAATGTGTCACCACAATATTATATAATCTTGCAATGTGTTTCGATCCCAACGTACTAGCCCAGTGGTTCTCAACCTTTTTATACGGCGACCCTGGCCATAAGCAGGCGGCACGCATGCGCGGCGGCGCCCCCTGTGCGGCACGCATGCGTGGCGCCCCCCCTGCATGACGCGCATGTGCGACGCCGCCCCATGCACCGCCCCCTGCGTGGCGCGCATGCGTGGCAGCGCCCCCTGTGCCACCCCCTGCACGACGCGCATGCACAGCGTCGCCCCCTGCGCTGGCTGACGAAAAAAATGGCGGATCGCGTTGTTTGGCGACCCCCGTGAAATGGTCGTTCGACCCCAAATGGGGTCGCGACCCACAGGTTGAGAACCGCTGTACTAGCCAATGTATTTTGTTTTAAAAAATAACGCTAAACATATTACATGTGTTTCTTTACCTGAGCTAAGGCTTCCATCAGATTTCTCACTACTTTATCCTGGTCTTCGGTTAGAATTCTGTGAAGGGTTGCTCTTCGCTCACTGTCCTTTTTTAGCATAAAAAAACCAGAATCCTTCTCCTCTGGTGAGGGAGGAGCACTGTGGTCCTCAAAATTCTCATCTGGGATGCTGTGGATATTTAACAGTAGAAATGACTATGAAGAAACCCCGTTTTTAAAAAGGTGATTTTCTTTTTCATAACCTAGCACAGATATTAATTACTTGGATAATTACCTTAGAAAAAGAGACCTAAGTCCTTTTCCTTCCTTATCACCACAGGATTTAGCTCTCATTTTAAAGGAGAAGGGGTCAAGTTTCAACTCATTGTCAGGTGAAACTGAACCATATTCACTGCTACTACTTGTGTCTTCTACCAGAACAGGAACAGGCAAGGATATGCTTCGAAGATATTCTGCTCAATGAAACAGGAAATAAAGTATGATGAAGATATATACGAAGAGCAAACTATAATAAACAACTGAACATAGCAATTCTCCCCAATACATATTATCTATCTGCTAAGATCTCCCAGAACTTATATTATCTTGGATGAAAGAACTGTATTAACTGTGTACAATTCCAAAACGATGGTAGGAATGCAAAAAAAAAAAAAAAGTTCTCTGTGGTATGAAAAAAAAATACAACAATACTTTGGTACTCACTGTTAATAGGTTCCGGGAGGTGCTATGAGTACCAAAAATGATGACTACCAAACAATTTTTTCCCATATGGAATAATATAGTGAGTCACAAGGCAGCTGACAATGACAAGTTCTAAGGTGTACATTGAGTACCAAACAAGCTATGAGTATCAGGTCAAATTTTTCACGTCAAAATGTGTTGAACACTAAATCTGATGAGTTTCAAAGCAGATACCACTATATCTCACTTAACAAGGTTGGGATAGTTATAATGTATCTGTTGCATTTCCAACTCCTTATTATTGGAGAAAAAAATAATCTTTCTAGTATGTTGAGATATATGTATGTCAAATATGTAATATATGTACAAATCAGATGAAAAATCTTTTTTTTTTGCAATATTCCTCAGGAATGTCTTCTTGCTACATATATTTACAAATTTATTTCTTGTAAGCTAACCTATCTTATATTTAAGAACATTTTAAAGCTTCTCAGAAAAAAATATTAATTGCTAAACTTACCATTTGATCCAGCTGTGAGAGCTGCGAAAATAAAACAAAAATAATGTAACATCCATAACTGCTCAAGTCAAATAAAGGAAACTTGATATAATAGGGCTCCAATGCAGCTAAACTTTGTAATATCAAATTTCTACTAAAAGAATTGAGATACTGCATTTACATGACACACACACTAATGTAATATTTTAAAAGCATTTGACAAAGCTCCTTACTTCAAAAGCCTATCTGTTAGTGGGTTCTGACTTGCCATTCTCAAAAGAGTGTCAAGAATCCTGGCTTTTTAATAATGATTCTTAATAATCTAAGATTTCCCAACTAGAACAGTTAGATTTCTTCACCTGTTAGTTTTGACTGTGACTTTCTTTTTTTGCTGGTAACTTTTAAGAATTCATCTACAAGAAGCTCATTAGCACAGGTCCTCTTATCTGGATCAGGTTCAAAGCATCTCAGCAAAAAAGCTTTTGCCTCCACTGACATGGATTCTGGAATCTCAGGGTGTATTTTGAACATTCCAACCTAATAAATGCAGATGAAAATCAAATTTAAAAACAACAACAACCAAGCAGATCTTTCATCACAGAGGGAACTTCTCTCTTTTATTTCCACATTAAAAATAGCATTAGCTGAAGGATCTTAGAACAGTCTTTTGTTCTTCAATAGGTATCATTTTAAAAGATAATCTAAATAACATTTTGGTATTTTCCCGAAGATGCTTTTTCATGAGGCAACTGGACTTTCTTGTTTTTTCCTTGAAGACCTTTTGCTTCTCTGAAGAAGAGCTGAAGAAGCTTCTTGGATGAGAAGCGAAACGTCTTCAAAGAAAAAAACAAGAAAGTCCAGTTGCCTCGTGAAAAAAATATCTTTGGGATAACTATGACCTGGATGACTGAGAATCTCCATAGAAATTTTAGCATTTGTTTATTGTGGCATGCTTTCATGTTCAGTTGAATCTAAATATGAACAAAATATACTATAACATTTCCCAGCCAGTATTATATCATCTTTTTTTAAAAAAAAAACATAGCCTTAACACAGTTTACTTTAACCCCTTTTTTTTAGAAAATGTTATTATCTAAACTAACCTTGAACATGGCTGCTTGTGGTTCTCCTAGTTCATAAAATGGAGGCTTTCCTGTAGCCATTTCAATAATTGTACAGCCTAAGGACCAGATATCTGCAGCCTTTCCATAACCTCTTGGTCCTTTATCAATTATTTCTGGTGCCATATACTGAAGAGTACCTGTGAAAAACAGATGTAATTTATGCATATTTAATAACAACTTGAAAGAAGGCACATACTAAACAAATGAATTCCCAGATTTTAATGTACCTTTCTGTCACAGTATTGGGCATTTATATGGCACACTAGAATGTTCCAAGTGTCCCACCTATCTTTGCTTTTTCAGACTCAATTATCCTAATTTGATTGCATCTGATACTGGACTTGCACCTATGATCTTTAATCTAATCTATCAATTATAGTCAAATCAGCAAACTGTGATTGAATTCCTCTTTACAAACCAGAATATGAAATTAAGATCACAAAACTGTGATTAAACAAAACTAAAAACAGTTATTTTCTTAGAATGCAAAAAGAAACATTACACAAAGACTGTAATGATAACCTTAGTTTGTAAAAGTTGAATGCTATATCAGAAGTAGGCTAGTTTATTACCCCTAAAAATGCTACAGAAAAACTAAATCAAGGCATTTTTCCACTGTACATAGGACTGTGGGGGAAAAGTTAACAAAGGCTATTAATTTATAATATTTTTTTCTACCTTTTCCTGCATTGCGGGAAGAAGAATGCCATTGACATTTTATACAAGGTTATTTAGGGTGTTTTCAGCAAGAGGAGATATCTTAAGTATTGTGTTATTTCCAATATGAATTAAAAATAATATCCATCCTATGCAGTTTTGGTATAAGGGGGCAGCACTGAAATAACCATGCAAGGATAGCCATATGACAGCCTGAAGTTGTCACATTTGGAACATGAATAGAATCTGGCTGTGCTTTTAAAAAAATATTATTCAGTGCCCACTGTTCCAAAAAAAATCAAAAATTCTCTTTGCTAACAACAAACCCTGAGGGTCTCATATAAGAAGAAACAAAAAGCAAGAAAATGTGGATTTTACGATTATAAAAATTATTGTGTGTGCTGGCGTGACTTTGTCTTTTTTGATTCAAGACCAAGACCATATGACTCAAGAAACCTAGTTTTTTCTATCTGATTTTGTCATAATTTTGTAATAGTTTAAGGATCACTGAGCTTAATTCCATAGTAGTCTCAAAGGTAATGCACTGCAGTAAACAATCAGAAAAGAGCTGTTCACATATTATGCTGTTTTCGAAGAGCTACCAGGCAGAAAGCTTACAAATATCTCAGTGGCAGAGCAATAATTTCCACAATATGGTTCAGCCTAGGTGTCTGTAGCACTCCTGAATGCTGTATGACACAAGTCAATAGAGCAAATGGGTACAATTGTGATTTTATTTTATTTTTTTAGCTATTTTGAATAGTCACCACCAGGCTTTTTCAATATATCCAATAGTAAGTACAATGGGAGATAGAATCCAACATTTGGGAACACAAGGTACAAAAAGACTAATCACAAAGCTATATCTATTAAATTTAAAAACTGCAACTAAATCTATTCACTGTTTCAAAGTTACATTTATGTTGTTTTTATTTTCTATAAGAAATACACACTCAGAATAACATTCAATACATTTTTGCAAATGCATACACATCCCAACCATAATATTGAATACTGAGTCAGAGCACACCCGGTTCCTAAGCCAGTTAATGTTATGCTTATGTATGGCCTTTAATTTGATCAGAATGTCAGACTGATTAAATAATCTGCACTTCCTCTAAATCACTTATCAAGAATGCTGCTGATAACATTAATGGAGATTGCTATGCACATCAACAGATGATTATTACTACTTATCTGAACTACATCATGAATGACTAATGCTACACTTCCTAAACATATTTTCCAATGGGAAGGATTTCCTAGGATTCCTCAAGTCAGTAAACTTAGAACATTAGCTCAAATAAGGGCTCTTAATTTACACTTTTTAAGAATTGCACACAACAAAATCAATGCAGATAGAGGGTAATTTTTCCTAACCAAGACAAATAAAATGAGCATGTTACATCCACTAGGAATGACAAAGATTATGTTCAATTTATGTTCTTGAACATTCTTCCTGACATTGAAATTAGGAACTCTATAATATGCTTTCAGATTTAGAACATACCTGTGAAAGTCTCAGTGCAAGGATTGATTCCAGCAAGCCTCTTTGATGTTCCAAAATCTGAAATCTTTAGCACTCCACTGTATGTGTTGATAAGAACATTATCCCCCTGAGGGAAGAGAACGTTTGTGATACCGTTTCACCTTATGACTGACATCGCAAAACAATTCGCAGTTAAAATGAATGCTGGAAAGTGATTATGAATGAAATAGATGTTGCTACACCTTTGAAACTAGATTACGTCTCAGATGACCCCCTCATTCCTGAATGCTGAACTAGTATCTCTAAGTATCTTCTGAAAATAATGGTAGGGGGAAAATACAATAAAATGGGATAATTCAAAAACTGTAGGGGAAAATTATTTTCTATACCTAATATTGTGTGGTTTTAATTATTTTTTTTATCAACATACTTTCTTAATGGGTAATAAATGTTAAGGGATAGGAAAACTTTGGCACTGCAGATGTTGAACAATTCCAGTATTTTTAGGAAGCACAGCCACATGCTGGGCGTTATAGGTATCAGTATTCTAGCATTCCATTCTATTGTTTTAGAAGTTAATACCCAAAATGCTTTGGTGAAGTTTACCAATGAACTGGAAAACGGTAGGCAAAATTACCTAATAGATTTTACTTTGTCTTCCTCCCTCTGCAGACTCTTATAGCCTTACCAATGAATTGAAATATCTAGCAGAATAGAATATTACAGAACAAGAGCATAACAGGGGAATTACTTGAAGTCTGTCTGAAAAATCCGTTGATTTGTATAAAATTTCTATTTTCATATGAAAATTCCCAGGACAAAGAAGGAAAATTACTCCAATCTTTTTTAGAATCATTTGGGTTTGGCCTCTGCCCTCTTCTCCAATTGCTCCCTGAGCAGGCTACCTCATGGTAACATAGCCATAGCAGTTGGGTGTGTTATAAAAAAGAACACTGAACTGCAATATATGCAAAAAAGTGTTTGAGGCAAAATGTATGAAAGATAGAAAAATGAATAAATGGGATGGAAAAGTGACAGAACAGTAAATCATGTCCCATGAATTCTCCATGTTTGATACTATCCATCATCAAGAGTATGTAAGCCCTCTCACTCGTACATATTGATTAATGTGAGAATTCCGCCATCTGATTCCTGATGTAAATTAATATAGAAAAAGGGGAGTGGTTAAAATAATCACAAGTCAAGTATCCTTTTAGATATTTAGATAATTGTATCCTACCAATCTTTATGCTACATGAATACTGCCCATTTTAAAAGGACATGAATCAGACACTGTGGTGCAATCTGAAGCTGAAGCAGAGGGAGGAGTTACAAGATTGGCTAACCTGGAATCATTGAAGGGGAGGAAATGGCGGAAAGCAGACCCTCCCTAAATCTCACAGTAGTTATCTAGTTGCTAGTTGTTTATGGTGACTGCAGTTAGTTTGGCGAGATTCTTGTAAACAGGCGAATAGTTTTGGCAGTGCTTTGCTCTCCAAGCTTGTTTCAATTTATTTTCTGAATATTTCATTACCAGAGTAGGTAACATCATCAGCAGGACTTTCTTGTCCTATTCTCCTTAGCTTATAAATGTCTTGTGTGCCAGTGTGATGTGATGTTACCTAGTCTGGTCACAAAATGTTCAGAAAATAAATTGAAACATGCTTGGAGAACAAACCATTGCCAAAATCTAAAACCCGAGCTACAAATATTTCCTATTATTTCATAGGAGAGTAGTAATAAACATATTTCTCTGATGAACTTCCAGTATTATTCTGGTTCCTTGCACCTGACAGACACCGTGCTTCTTCCAAAACCTTTTGAAGAACCCACAACTAAACAAGGCTGAATTCAATGAGAATTCCAGCTACGCTATCCCAATTAATTGTAAAGATCTTATGCATCATCATTTCATATCATCCATTAGTCTAAGATTCTAAGAACCAAATCAGTTCCAATGCATTCCTATTAGTGGATATCTGTTCAGATTTCTTTATTTGCTATGATCAAATGAGGATTGAGACCTTTTTCCTTCAGAGAAAAGTTAAACTAATTTCATAATAATAAAATAATTTTACATCCGTTCGTACAAGTTCTTTCTGCCAAGAAATTTTCCTTTATAATTTATAGTGAATAGCAATTCCCACCTTTATATCTCTATGCACAATTTGATTATCATGGAGGTATTTTAATCCTTCAAGAATCTGTTTGGTGTAAAAACCAATAGTCTGTTCATTATCTTTCAATGGTCCCCATTTTGATCTCAGAAGAGCTGAAAGGCTGCCTGAAATATAAAGAAAAACAGTTTCAAATGAGACAGATGCTAAGGGAAAACTGCAGTGCCTACTTGAATGGTAGTATTTCCTTTAACAAATGGAAAAATATTTATTATAATACTGGCATCTTTTGTAGTAAAATATATTCCGATTATAAATAGACCAGGTGAAATGCAAACTTAGGCAGATAGAGTTGTCACCTGTACAACAGTTTATCTTTTTTTCCTCTGCCTAAACCCACTTGAATTCCCTCAACCCTACAGAACAAACCTAGATGTGTGCAGAGGAAAGATACAAGAATTAACTGTACTGGAAACAGGCATCATTGGATACAATTTATTACAAAAATTATTTCAGAACTATTTCCATTTTTTCCCCTAATATAAAACAAAAGCAAATGGTTTATTCCACGTGACATATTGTGACATATCACAACTTTTTTGCCATTGCCAGCAGTGGGGTGGGCACGGTTTCGTTATGATGCATCAGGCCCACGGGCCAACAGTTTGACACCCCTGGTTTATTCTATTTCAAAATGTTATATTTTATTGCTTTTACCTTATTGATTAGTGAATTGAAAAGCAAACTTTGTCAATTCTGGATAATATTTCACACAACGTCATTTTTCTAAATGTTAATGAAGAAAAACAGCTTTACAACCTTCTAAATGAAACTTGTTAACCTAGCAATTGGCTACGAATTCTGGGAGCTGTAGTCCTAGGTTGACAAAAAATATAGTGATAGCAAACAATACAAATGTATTCTTTAAACCTACAAATGTTTTACCTCCTGGTACCTGTTCCATGAATATCTTAATAAATCCATCTTCACTAAATGAGCCAAGATACTGAACAATGTTCTTGTGTTTGAGGTGTTTGTGTAAAGCTATTTCTTCATGTAAAGGCTGGGAATACCTAAAATAAAAGGCAGATTAACTTGATTCAGTCCCATAGTTTTCATTCCATGGAAATTATTATAATACTTAATTTATAAATAAACCCACAACAATTTACAGACCACAATATTTTAAAATAAAAAAACACAGAAAATTGTCCAGATAATGTTTGTACAAAGGAAATATATTCCTTAAAATTCATAACACAGAACAAATAGCAAGGCAGAAGGCATGAAAGCGGACTAAATCAATAACTTACTAGTACAGAAAAATACAACTTCATCTCATACTTTTGGTGAAGTAATCCAATATAAATTTGAAATGGGTGTTTTATAGGATATGTCAACCATGAATGTTTTCTTAAGTGCAATAACAATTTTTCCTTTTCATTGAAACAAATTCAGATTTCACATTCTTCTGTGCTTTTCTGGCAAAGTTGAGATTCTGAGTCAATTCAACAATATACCAGTATCTAAGTATTGTTATTTCCACTTAGCTATTTGAATTGTTGTTCATATTAGTCTTGGTTTCCCTATCTTGGTTTCTTTAGATACTGAAATACAACTACTAAAAGGGCCAGCTACCACTTCATAGTTTTACCACTCATTATCAGGGTTTGCAAGTACCTGGCTGTTATTTTCACAAATTTTAGCCACCAGTGTAATTGCTGCAATGATTATACACCTTGAATTTTTGCAGTTATATATTTACAACTTTCAATAGTATGAAATTCTGGCCCTATTCACATTACAAAGTTAACTAAACATGAGAGAGGACTGAATTTGGTATGATTTTAAAAACGGAGTTATTTTATTTTAATTAAGTTAACCTAGATTTAACAGATCTAGTCTAGTCTGAAATTAAACTAACTTTCCCTGCAACAAGTAAACTACTTACCAACAATAAACTGCCCCTTCCAATAATCATAAGATAATCTTAAGAGAAACCTTCCCAAAATAAGGCTTCTCTAGGCATTCTACCTCTATAGTCATTTTGGATCTCTCCCTCCACACACATATACAGAAGGACAGAAAGGGGCAGAAATGGTATGGCAATTATCCATATTATTATTTTTTTTAAATAATCCTTGGGGAGAGGAAACAGGAGGTACTGGGGAAGTTGTGATGTCTGGGAGGTCTAGCACAGTGGTTCTCAACCTGTGGGTCGGGACCCCATTTGGGGTCGAACGACCATTTCACGGGGGTCGCCAAACAAGGCTGTCCGCCATTTCCCCCCCCTTTTCTTTGGCCATGCCCCTGGTACCCGGTGATGTATAAGTGGTTGGGGGTCACCACAACATGGGGAACTGTATTATGGGGTCGCGGTATTAGAAAGGTTGAGAACCACTGGTCTAGCAGATGACTGACTGAATCATTTCAGATTACATGTTGTTGACACCCGAAGGCGAGGCAACTAACTGGAAAAGGCAGGATCACTTATGTCTGCAAACGTGCTTTAAGAGGGTTAGAAGAGCAATCTGGGCCAGTCTCTTTGTATATACAGGTAGTCCTTGACTTACAACAAATCGTTTAGTGACTGCTCAAAGTTAAATGGCACTGTAAAAAGTGACTTACGACTGTTTTTCACACCTGTGACCATTGCTGCATCCCCACGGTCATGTGATCAAAATCTGGATGCTTGCCAACTGATTCACATTTATGACAGTTGCCATGTCCTGGGGTCATGTGACCTTTTGCGACCTTCTGATAAGCCAAGTCAGCGAGGAAGCCAGATTCACCTAAAAACCAGGTCACTAATTTAACAACTACAGTGATTCCCTTAACATCTGAGGCAGGAAATTCTGGGGCAAAATTCACTTAACAAATGTCTCACTAAGCAACGGAAATTTTGGGCTCTATTGTAGTCCTAAGTCAAGGACCACAAGTATTTGTATAGACCAGAGGTAGGCAACCTTGGCTCTTTTATGACTCCTGGACTGTTGGATGTTGGCTCAGGAATTCTGGGAGTTGAAGTCCACGAGTCATAAAAGAGCCAAGATTGCTTACCCCTGGATAGACTACATTCTATATTGTACATTTTATATTATTATGTGCATTGGTTTGGAGGAGATTAAGGCTGTTTCTGAATTTTACATTCTCTACAGAGATTTCCAGCTTTGTTTTCTTTCTCGCTTGTAAGTGGTGCAAGTATACTTTCTGTGGGTATACTGTGAGAGATCTAATGTCCTAGGGTTGTGTGATTTGCATTATATATTTACCAGCCCATACATTTATTTTGCTTATTTCCTATTGTGGGAATGTATAGATCAAGTTCCGGAAGCATTAAAAGCAAGCATGTGTAGGCAAAAGTATCACTGGTTTTGTTAGACAAAAGTTGCTGCAGGGGAGGACAGCTAGAAGAAAATAAGTTTATGGGGGAGAACAGAAAAGCATTTAATGCTTTATAAGTGCAACCCCATTCCCACCATCCCCTGCCATTTTTTCTCCCCAGCAAAGTCTCACATGCAAATGAGTAAGGATAAATACACTTCAGGAAATCTGCAAAAGAGTCTGGTTCAGTCTCTCTGTTTGGTCAGATGGCCAGCTAAATGAAAGGATTAAAAACACCCATGCCATTTCTATGCTTCAAATCATCCCCTGGTCAAAAAGGGATGGGAAATGCATTTCATAATCTCTTAAGGTACTTTTTTTTACTTACATACAGAAAGCACTTAACCATTGAACCAGAAGCTAAGAGAACATAAATAGCCATAAAAAAACTAACCAATATTAAATCCAACTGAGCTTACTCTGCACACTGCATAAACGCAAATACTACATGTTTAAGTGACCTGTAATTAAGCATTTTGTATTCATGCAGCAATTGTCTTTCATATGTAATTCTACTTCTTGAGTCTCTGGACACAGCTGCAGTAACCTACATACAGCTGTGTGATACAAACAAGGATAGGAAGACTCCTTTCATACTGTTACTGTGATGGTTCAACAGTACCATCAGGAATCTTTTCTGATTGTCCATGGTTGATGTTTGAGAAGGAAGTGCTTTTTGAAGACTTTTGGAGATCTATTATTAGTTTTTTTCCCACAGAACACTGGTGAGCATTAGCCGTATAATTGTAAACATAGCAGCATCTGTCAGCATTCACTATTACTATACCTGCTATCTCTTTCTGGGATTTCTTTAATGGCAATTCTGACTTGATTGCTCAGATCTCGTCCTGCATAAACTATGCCGTAAGTGCCTTTCCCCAGAATGACTCGTTCACCATTTTCATCATATTCATAATCATACTATAATAAAAAATACACAAAAAGGAAGGGATATGTCATTCTGTTATCTGTCAAATACAAATACTGTTATCTTTTGGGAAGACGTGATTCAACAGTGGTTCAAACCAAGGAGAATCAACATCCCATCTAAACGTCAAGTCAGTGTTGTTCTATAATCTGTCTTTATTTTTTAAATCTATACTTCATCTTTCCATGGTGAATTAGCATTTCCAGGAGAACAGGAATCTCATAAAAGGTAGTACCGGTAGTCATTTGGGACCATAATGGGGACTAGCAACTTGCTCATTAAGCAAAGAGGTTGTTAAGTAAAACCATGACTGTGCACATGATCTTACTTCAACTTTCCTTTGTTTACACACCTACAAAAGCCATAAATACAGGGGCTAGTTGTAACATTCCTTTTTATTGCTGTTGTAACTATGAACAGTCACTAAATGAGGCAGTCACTAAAGAGGATTATAAGACAATCTCAATTTAAAAATTTAACTTCAATTTTGGTGATAGTTTGTTTTCCACTGATCCATATATTCCCTATGAATCTTTTTGATAATGTTTAACAAAAGAAAATCTAAACATTTCTAAGTGGCAGCCATTAATTAAACATACTGCCTTTTTAATGACTGTTCAAAGTTATGACGGTGTTGAAAAAGTAACTTTATGACCAGATCTCACATTTACAACTGTCACAGCATCCCTATGATCATGTAATCTAAATTCAGGCACATCATAACTGTTGGGCATTTTCAACTTTGCAATGTCTTATAGTCACATCATTGCCATTTGTGTGCTTCACAACCAGCTTCATTGGAAAAACTGGCAGTAAAATCGCAAGTTGCGATCTTTTGATACCTTGCTTAACAATCTGTGGTGATTTGCTGAATGATCAAATGGGAAGTAATGTCATAAGTCCATCATGGTTATATTATGTTTTATTTAGTGACTGCCGTGATTAGCAAGGTAGTCCCAACAGTGGTTGCTAAGCGAGGACTACCTTTATGCTCAATGGGTGACTAAATATCAAATTATAATGTATATAAATATTAAAGTTTGGAGAGGTTTTTTTAAACATTCATCTATCTGCAACAGGTTTATACATTAACGTGGCTTGCTTTTTGCTTTGTAATGGGTTATGATAATACTGCAAAAGAAGAATGAGGTTGTAAAACATGATAGCCACCGTTCCTGTTAACAAACACGTGAAATACAGCAGCATCAAGAAGAAAATCTAGAAAGCAGATAAGGTTGTGGTTATGAAATGGAACTTGCTAGGGAGTTTTCGAAAGTATGAAAAATAGGAAGAATACACAGTTGCCTTTACCTCCAGGGAATCTCCATCACATTCACCTTCCTCTGTGTTTTTTCCTATTTCTTCGGTGATGCTATTAACCATTTCAAAAAATCTGCCAAAGACATATAATATTCATACAGAAGAAAAGAACAATGAACAGAATAAAACTTGGTGATTACTAATCACAGCTGACTCTGATGGATGCCACAGCTATGTTTCACAAAAGAAATTCTGGGCATCTATTTTGATATGATCCCCTTCAGACTGTACCTTGTATCTTAATATACAATTTCACATATTGTTTTGGCAAGTACATCAATACCCAGCACATAGTAAGAGTTAGAATTCTGGAACAAAACAAGGGATTCCTTGACTCAAATCCCTGGACAGCTTTAAAAGTCACTGAATGCCTTTAAAATAATCACTATCCCTCAGCTCAAGATAACTCTCACAGGGTTGTGAAAATAACATGTAGGGAAAGAGAAGAAGCATGTACACTGCCTTGAATTTGCTGAGAAACAATGGGATAAAAATAACAAATAAGCATAGATATTATTATGCGTAATGATTACCTCATTTGAGAATGTATGTGTGATGGTCACTTAAAAGAGGGATTTTAATATAAATTGCAGCCCAATTTTGGATTTACACAATGCTTTTGTAAGTTTCGTATCTGTTCATAAATGCTCACAAAGAAAAAGTGATGAAATGCACACTGATATAGGAAAGGTTATGTAACAGATGGCATAATCCATAACAGATGCCATTCAAAATTAAGATAATTTATTTCAAATCTTCAAAATACAGAAATAAATTTAAATGGGTAGATATTTGGAAGATTTAGTGCAAACCTGGGTGCTTTTCCTGGGTGTCTCTCATCCAACTAAACTTGACCCTACTTAGTTTCTGAGCTCAGAAAAAGTCAGCCAGGGAATAACCAGCAGGAATGCATGTCACAAATACAAAGTGAATGCTATTGATTAAAGACTTCAGAAGCTGAAATTAAACCAATAAATAATCTCAGTCCATACAATTATTTTTCATGCAATAGTGGATTTTAAAATGTTTTATCAAATAATAGAATTCAAGCTGTATAAATAGCGTATTTATTTATTTATTTAATATTAAATAGTAATCAACACGTACTTTTTGCAGTGATGTTCTGTACAGAAATAGATTTGGAAGTCATCTGAATTGTGTAGTACATACAGAAAACAGCAACGTTCTTCAAACTTTGAAATGCTAAAAAGGAAATAAAATTAGAATAGATGATTAATATGTCTTTATACTTTATGAAATCTTTCAATTTCTACAAGAAATCAGAATTTTTAAATACCTGATCTCCCCCCCCCCAAAAAAAATGCTCCAGAGTAATTTTGTCATTATTTTTAAGAAGGAAGATAAGTGAGGATATACTAGACAGGAGGGAAAAAAAATCTTCCCTCAGACTGTAGCAAAAATATTGAATGAAGCTCAGGTTGCTTCCTTACAGAAAAATAAAACTTAATTCCTTATTTAGGGGCTCCCAAATATGAGTATGTTATCATTTCCAAACTTCTATTTAGTCTCATAGATTATTCAAACTTCTCTCTAGTCTCATAGATTATCTGAGTCTGTAAACTTGGGGGGTGGGGAGGGTGTTTATAAAAGTATACCAACATGGCTGCATATAAATCAAGCTGAAAAATGTATTCTTAAAATAGTTACATCATAATAAATAGGACACTAACAATTATTTGAAGAAAGACAGGTAGTTACCTCACTTAAATGGACTGCCTCTCATTAAAATTATACACCCAGTGCAACTGTTTTCTTAAAAAAAAAAAAAAAAAAACTCTGGGAGAATCATCTGGGTTTGGAAGTGTATGAATCACATAAGAACTCCACGTAGTTCATGGAATTGTCACCAACCACCAAGAATGAACAATGAAGATAATCCCCAAATGAACTCCCATGGCTAAAAGAGCACTCCCCCCCCCCCATGGTATGAAACTGACTATATATTGGAAGCCATTGGAGGGCACCCTAGCACAAACTTTCAGTCACTGCTTTCTTTTTCCTTTAAAAAGTACCGAAACTTCATCATTAAATTATGGCTGTCACATAATTAATCTATGAATTATATTTTAACCCAAAGTATAGTAAACAGCAAATAACTAAAATATTACAGACAGGTAATTCCAACTGCATACCAATCTTTTTCATATTTTTCTATTCTATACAATCTCATATTCAATGGTCTCTTTCCAGAATAAATGCTACTTGAAATTTGCCTAATAACTTACGGCAACTAACTTTACTAAATTCAATCATTCTTACTTGAAGATAATTAAATATATAGATGTCTGGGTGAACTAAAGATGCATATAATTGTATTGTTAATGTAAGAAGGCAAGCAGGCTATAAGACAGCATAATTTTGCATATTGTGTCACATGGCAACATGGAATTCTCCTTCCACAGTTGCTTCTTAGACCTATTTAAACAATAATGCAGTTGGCATTAGTAGTTACTGATAGCTTGATTCTCCAGGACTATGAAGATTCTCAGTCATCTAGGTCAGTGATGGCAAACCTTTTAGAGACCGAGTGCCCAAAAACCACCCCCACCCCTTCCTCACTCTGCTGTGCCTGCTGGACCACCCGCCACTTCCATGGCCCACCACACATCACCCAGGCAGCCCAGCAGTGCCATGGTGGCCACGCCCTCCGCCCATGCCCTGCAGCATTATCTGTATGCGATGGGGTGCAAGAGCGGAGTCTTGTCCCCGCTGCCCGGCTACCATGTCCTTGGTTGCGCAGCATTGCGTGGGCCGTGTCCTGGGGCGACTCTCCTCCGAAGAGCTGCTGGTGAGGAGGGGGCCATGGGAGGCGGGGCTAGGGCGATGGTCCGTGTGCCCACAGAAAGGGCTCCGAATGCCGCCTCTGGCACGCATGCCATAGGTTCGCCACCACTGATCTAGGTCGTGACTAGGTGCTTTTTCAAAAGGCAACTGGACTATGTTTTTTTCCTTAAGGAAGATTTTTGCTTCTCATCAAAGAATCGATGAAGCTTTTGGATGAGAAGCAAAATGTCTACTTCCTCAAGGAAAAAAAAATAGTCCAATTGCCTTTTGAAAATGCACCTTTGAGACTTGATCCTCCATGCAACTTGTCAATTCCACTTTCAAAGTCATTTAAATTGCCTGCCACCTACCACAAGTCATTTTTACAGCTCAGCTCAGCTCTGCACTGTAAATCAGAATCTCCCTGCGCTTAGTTTTAGTAGACAACCTGGAGCTCTAACACTTCTAACCAGAGTTGCCTTATGTGTGAGATGGGCAGCGTGTAAAATTAATAAATGAAAATAAGTAAGTAAATTCTGTGTGACACAATGATAAAAGCATTTCTTAACAAATGTTGCATATATCAATGTGTGATTTCATGTAGCTGTATTATCTCTCCCTTTATGCTCCTTTCATTTCCAAGCTAAAGTATCCCCAGGGCTACAATCTTTTCTTGAAGATGAGCAATTTTATACCTCGTCCCCTTCCATAATACCAATTTTGAGGCATGATGACTGGAAAGTAGATCATATTCCATAGATTTCCATAGAGGCGTTATATTGGCAGTTCTATTTCCATTTCCATTCTTAATGGTTCCAAGCATGGAATATGATTTTTTTTAATAACATTCTACAGTTAGTCCTTAACTTACAACCATTTGTTTAGTGACCATTTGAAATTACAACGGCACTGAAAAATGTGACTTACGACTGGCTTTCACACTTTCGACTGTTGCAGCATTTTTGTGGTTACGTGATCCAAATTTGGCCGTTTGGCAACTGGCGTGATAGTCGCCCTATTCTAGGGTCATGTGAAAATCATCTGTAATCTTTCCAGCTGACTTCCGACAAGCAAAGTCAATGGGGGAAGCCAGATTCACTTAATGACCGCACGATTCACTTAACAACTGCAGTGATTCACTTAACAACTGTGGCAAAAAGGTCATAAAATGAGACACAACTCACTTAATAACTGCCTCACTTAGGGATCAATTTTGGGCTCAATTGTGGTCGTAAGTTGAGGATTACATGTCTAAGTCACTACGATTCCAAGGTCCTTTTCTTGGATAGTCATTGCCATCTCAAAGCCCTTTAACATAAAAGTGAAGTTTTGGTTTGTAACAACATGCACCGCTTTACAATGCCACTCTGAAGACCCTTTATCCAGTGGAGGGAAATCATTTTGGGGCTCTACTTCAGCAAACAAGGCTACAACATTCTTAACAATAAACATAATATCATTTATATAAGGATTAAAAACTACTTCGATATTGATCCATGCAGGGCTTTTTTTTTTTTTGTCACAGAATGCCCAGAATGGAGTTCCGGCACCTTTTTGGGATGGAACCTTGTAGGGTAGGCAAGGCGGGTTGTATGATGTGTGTGACTTCCGGCACCTTTTTTTTTTTTTTAAACAAAAAAAGCACTGGATCCATGGGATCTAGATATCTGATCTGCATGAACATTTATTGAGTTTCCTGTTGTTTTTTTCACCAATTGCCCAAAGTCCAACTACATAATTAATTAGGTAATCCTTGCATATATATTTATTTCTACTCTAAAAAAGAAGCCTAGAAAGTCAGTGAGATTTCTCTTTTGCAAAAGCTATGTTGATTTCTTATCAGCAAAGATCTGTATGTGGAGGTAGGGTTGTTCCTTATTATTTCTTTAATAATACTTTCAACTATTTTTGCAGAAGCAATGTTAAGCTTACTGGGCTATGACTTCCTTTGTTTTTCCTCAATCTCTTTTAAAATTTTGCTGGTGTTAAAAGAGAAGTTGCATACTTTTGTGAAGAAAACCACCATATTCATATTTAAATTCATTGAGAACTATTCCAGGCCTGCCTGGACATTTATTTAATTTTAGCTTTTCAATTTGTTGTACAATTTTTTTTCTTCTTACCTCTGTATTCTTAGTTTGTTTCAAACATCTCCAGAATAAGCCATCATCAACACACGTTTATTTATCATTTAGAAAATATTTTATTCTTTGCTATTATTCTATCCTACTTTAACACACCTTTAATGCTTTCATATTATCAGAGCTTCATACCACACATGGCTATAAAACTATCTTTCAGGCTTACACTAACAAAATGAAACAAGATTGGGTAAGTATTTTTATTGCAGAGAATTAGGAAGCTTTATAGACAAATTCTGTGTACTGTAAAGCAACACAAACCTGACATACACCGAGATATAATATAAATATAAGAAGGTACCAGCCCCAAAGTTTATAGTCTGGGCTGCTTTCTCCTTTTTTGATTGCAGTTTTCCTGACTTCAGTATGGGTTCCATAATAAAGAGCTTTCTGTAAGAGAGAGGGAGCTCTCTCCATTTCACAACCTTTAACTTGTATCTGGCCAGTTTCTTATTCCAAATACATTTGAAGCTTTCTTTTTTTAATCATTTACTTTAATGTTCTTTGCCGTGTGTTTCTCAAGTCTCTTTTGGGTAACTTTTATTACTAGCTAGCATAATTTGGGGCAGAATTTTGCTTCTGTTTTGTTCTGCTTTTAGCAAAACATTCACTTCCTGAAAGAAACTTTCTTAATTTTGATATTATCTCTGGCCTTGCTCAAAGATGATATCTGGATTTTTTTTTAAAAAAAAAATTGTGGTAGCCTTCATAATAATAATACTAGTAATTCCACCTCCCAGCAACTTTAGGCAATTTACAATTTGTTAAAAACATTTGAAAACAAGTAACAACAAACTCAAAATAAAGAAACAAACATGGCAGAGAAAACAAATCCAGACGGGAACAAGAGAATGGAAGAAAAGGAGAGTCAACTGTCTTCACCAAAGGTCCCTCAAAATCCCCATAGGCTGTTTGATTCTTGAAGGAATCTTATTCCAGAGGGAAGGGACTGATTTGAGATGAATATCCTATATATGGTTTCATTACTGGAGATGAATAATCTCCAAGCACTGTGAAGAAAACTGGTCCTTGACTGTCTATCAATTTCCTTTTTATTGATCTCATTCTTTTAAAGTTTACTTGGAGTCCTAGTGGACGATCACTTGACTATGAGCCAGCAGTGTGCAGCAGCAACCAAAAAAGCTAATGCAGTCCTGGGTTGTATAAACAGAGGCATAGACTCAAGATCACGCAAAGTAATATTACCGCTTTATAAAGCCCTAGTAAGACCACACCTGGAATACTGCAGCCAATTTTGGTCACCATATCACAAAAAAGATGTTGAGAGGTTGGAAAAAATTCAGAGAAGAGCAACTAAGATGATCAAAGGCCTGGAAACTAAAACATATGAAGAACGGCTGCAGGACTTGGGTTTGGCTAGTCTAAAGAAAAGAAGAAATAGGGGAGACATGATAGCAGTGTTCCAGTATCTGAGGGGCTGCAACAAGGCAGAGGGGGCCAGGTTGATCACCAAAGCACCAGATGGAAGAATGAGAAACAATGGTTGGAAACTGATCAAAGAGAGAAACAACCTGGAATTGAGGAGAAACTTCCTGACAGGGAGGACAATCAACCAGTGGAACAGCTTACCCCCAGAAATCGTGGACGCTCCATCACTGGAGATTTTTAAGAGGAGACTGGACATTCATCTGTCTGAGACGGTATAGGTTCTCCTGCTTGACCAGGAGGCTGGACTAGAAGACCTCCAAGGTCCCTTCTAATTCTATTCTATTCTATTTTTCTGAAGGCAACTGTGATGTTGTTGCATTATTTGGCAAACATCTAATTTATGTGCATTAAAGGCTACAGAGTTCTGATCATTACTGATTCAGTAACATTTAGGTCTTGGACAAGATTCTGTGCACTACTCAGTAATAGTTCAGTGTTTTCTCTTTTTGGCTATTTTATGGTTGCTCCATAACACCATTATTTAAAATATTTATAAATGTGGTAGAGATTTTTCCATGCCCAGAGATTACATGTCACAATCTTTGTGAAAACTGACTAAAGTAATGTTTTTCTGACTCTCACTAATTTTTAAGTACTACTGTTACTTAATGATATCTGATTTAGTAGCACAATTAATACAATGACTTAATTAATTTATCCAGCTAACTTTCCATGGATCAGTATCTTTCTCCTGAAGATACAAGTAATTTTACTGCTGCAATTTTTCTTTGCTTATTACAGAAATATTTGTGGACTCTGTACTGGGTTATATCATAGAATTCAGTCACTTTCTCTCATCTTGATTACAGAGTTATTACAAAGATTGAATAGAATAGTCAGTATCAATACAGGCCATTCTGAACTCGGTAAACAAAAGGAGGTATAAAGATGTCACAGGCAAATAAATATAAATAAACTTACCTTACTCCTCTTATAGATTCAGCACTGAAGTTCCATTCATGAATACCTTTCTATAATAAGAAACCGACAAACATAGCATGTAATTGTTAAATGATATAAAATATTTCAGCCTAAAACTTAAAAATCTTGGCAGATTATTTTCTTTTATTACATTTACCCTTTTATAAAATAGTTGTCACTTTAATAAAATTGCACATGGCATTGCATTCAAGTCAGGCTTGACTCCTGATAATGTCATGTACAAGTTTTGTGCAATTTTCTTGGCAATTATGAAATGCCTTGCTCATTTATTTATGAATTTGTTAAATGCATTTTGAATTGATCGATTATATGCCATCAAGTTGTTTCAACTCCTTTTTGCTGAACTTATCAAACTTCTGTCTTTTTTCTCATGGCTGAATCTTTGAAGTTTCTTTCTTTGCTTATTTCATAGCTTATCTTAGCTTGTTTATCTTGCCTTTCCAAACAAGATATTTCTCAATTATTTATCCACATTTGCTTAGTCATTTTGTTAGATTCCATTTCAATTCTTGACAATTATGGAGGTGAAAATTATACCTAGACAAAGGCATTACACTATAAAAACATTTCAGACACATTTCTCATTAGTTAGTTTCCATTAAAAGAAAGCTCAGGAATTCCTATTTCTTTAAAAACATATTTTTAAAAAACTAATTTAATAGTTGTTTAATTATTATGTTCATAAGAGGGTGAAGTTAAATAAAAACAATCTTCCTGGTGATCCTGCCAAACTTTCAGTCCACCAGTGTAAACATTTTAAGAAAGTTGTCCATGCCTGACATCTGTTATTTGCTTAATAAAAAGAGAGGCAACAGGAAAACCTATTTAAGTAGCCAATGTAAGACCGAGTACCAGGGCTAAGGTAGCACTTAGTGAAGTAGAAGGAACAATACTAGATGTCCTTTGGTAATGCAGCTAGGGGTTGGAGGCAGGCTTACGTCACAAAACAGTTCAGATGTTATTTAACAGACAGGAAAGGTCAGTAAATTCTACCCAAGTCAAATAAATATTCAGACTTAGATTTTTAAGCCACTCATCCACGTTCAGCGGAGTTAGTATGTCAGTGAGATCCAGAAGAAAGAATAAACAACTTCTATCCTCCAAGTACTGGTTCTACACCCATAAAATGGGAACAAAAATTATTACTGCAATTTATGAAGTCAGGCACATAGCTGAATTTCTTCCCAGTGATAATCTGAGGAATGTATGAGACATATATCCTGACAGCCCACCAACAGATGAAACAGATCCTCTTGCTTCTTGCAAGCTTCCTATATTATCCCCTATATCTGCTCTAGAAGTTTAGATCTTCTTGAGGAAATAAAAAGGGAAGATTGAGACCACAAGTGATGCAACGTGGTTAAGAGAAAGGGCACCTTCCATTGCAAGATTATGGCCTAGTGAAATATACTCAGCAACCCCAAAAGTAATAAACTAGAATGAAGCTCAGTTTCTAGAGGTTTCTTGATCTTTAAGATAAAAACTGCCTTAGGGGAGCTAGAACAGCAGAGTAAAGTAGAAGTGGTTTTTCTACACTGCTTTGCCTTTATGCAATTTTTTCAACTGGGTTAAATTACTCTTATTCCCATGTGAAGGGATGCATTTGTTTTCCCCAAACAGACATAATTACATGTGCAAAGTTATTCCAAATTGGTGTAATATCTGCTGTGCTAACTAGTCATCAAAGCTGAGTGTACCCACTCTGGAATTCATGATTCTTCATTTTAATATGGTTGTTAGCTTTGCTTCAAGATGAAACAGGAAGATATCAAAAGCTACTGCCCATGTTTTCCATAGATGGACTAAAAAGAGAAAGTAAGTTTTTTATAAAACAAAAAGATTTCCTACAAGCTGACATAAAAAGCAGCTGATGCTAGGAAATACTCTCCATGTATGCTTTCTTCTCCTCCCTTTGCATCACTGTTCTGCCACTGTGGCACTCAAGCTCCTCAGAAAAATGTGTATGTACCCCTAGTTTCTAAAGCAGTGGTTCTCAACCTGTGGGTCGGGACCCCATTTGGGGTCGAACAACCATTTCACAGGGGTCGCCAAACAAGGCTGTCCACCATTTTTTCCCCCTTTTCTTTGGCCACGCCCCTGGCACCCGGTGATGTATAAGTGATTGGGGGTCACCACAACATGGGGAACTGTATTATGGGGTCATGGCATTAGAAAGGTTGAGAACCACTGTTCTAAAGCTTGCCCACCCCTTCTAGACTCAGGATGCTTGCTTCTTTAAGGAAGCAATGTAATTTGGAGATGTCAAAACGCTACAGATGGTCACTTCAACTAATTTGGTCAGCAAAACCTATGCTAGGTTTATCCTACTTATGAGCTATTGCAATAATAATTTTGCTCAATATAACAGGAAGTGAAGAGTTGACTAGCATATAGGTGGTCCTTATTTAGCAAAATCTTTCAGTGACTTTCGAACTTATGAGGGTGCTGAACAACTGTAGTTTTGACTTACATTGGTTGCAACATCCCCACAGCCATGTGATCGCCATTTGTGGCCTTCTTTAATTAAAGAAACTTCGTGGGGAAACTGGTGAGAAGTTGCAAATGGCAACAATAGGAAGTCCTCACTTAACGACCTGCAATGATTTGCTTAATAATGGCAACCAGAATTACTGGAATTTCTGTCGCTAAGTGGTGTGGTCATGTAACAGAATTCTTGATCCTATCAAGGCAGTAGTTCTCAACCTTTTTAATGCCACGACCCCCAACCGGTCGTAAGTCCAAGACTACTCAACCGGTCATAAGTCCAGGACTACTCAACTGGTGCAGCCCCGTTTGCAGAATGGGACTTTTGGCGGGCTCAGCAGGGCAGAGACAGCCTGGACAATTCCTATTGGCTTCTGAAAGCCAATAGAATTAGACTCTATTCAAGAGAGTCTATTCTATTGACTTTCAAAAGCCAATAGAATAAAAGGGAGTAGCACAGCTAAGGGAAAAGGGAAAAAAATGGCGGACTGCGTTGTTTGGCGACCCCCGTGAAATGGTCGTTTGACCCCAAATGGGGTCCCGACCCACAGGTTGAGAACCACTGCTCTACAGTATCTTGGCAAGAGTTTTGGAAATGATTTGCCCCTGCCTTCTTCTCAGAGCTGAGAGATCATCCCCCAACTGTCTTTGTGCCTAAAGTGGAATCAGAACTCAGTTTCCCAGTTTCTAGCCTGAAGCCTTAACTCCTGCACCAGACTGGCAAATTAGAATAGAATAGAATAGAATAGAATAGAATAGAATAGAATAGAATAGAATAGAATAGAACTTTATTGTCACTTTAAATCAGCGGTTCTCAACCTATGGGTCGCGACCCCATTTGGGGTCGATCGACCATTTTTCGGGGGTCGCCAAAGAAGGCGATCTGCCATTTTCTCCCCTCAGGGGGCGCCGCCGTGCATGCGCGCCGTGCATGGGGCCGCTGCCGTGCATGCGCACCGTGCATGGGGGCGCCGCCATGCATGCGCGTCGCGCATGGGGCGCTGCCGTGCATGCACGTCGTACATGGGGGCGCCGCACATGCGCGCCGCACATGGGGCACCACTGCACATGCGTGCCGCACATGGGGCACTACCATGCATGCGCGGCGCACGTGGGGCGCCGCCACGCATGCGCGGCGCGGATGCGCAGAACGTTTGTGTGATGGGGGTCGCCGTCACACAAACGTTGACAACCATTGCTTTAAATGTACACTAATCAGCATACATTAAAATGAAATTTCGTTGCATTCATCTCTCATCCACTACTTTCTCTTCCTTAGATTTCTTGATTGTTATAATTCCATTATCTTTTCTCCCTTAAATACCAAAGGCCCTGGTTCTCAAATATTTAGTAATTTCCTTTACTAAAAAAAAAAAAATCCTTTAGCTCCTGTACTGTAGCAGAGTGATTATCTGGGGACAAGATGAAACCTAGAAAAAAGGAAACATTCTGTACATCTTCCTGTTTCTTCTCAAAATGCAAGGAAGGCAGCTTACCTTATCATCAGGCATAACATGCCAAATAGAGACCGTCTTCTCTTCAGCCTCACTGTTGATCGACAAGTACGAAGGTTGATAGATTTTTGTAGGTTCTAATATCAAAACCTTCAAGCAAAAATGACAAAATAAAAGTTAATAACTGTTTCCTCAAAATGTCTAGCTATTTAGATATTAAACTGTGGTGGAATAGTCAGACAAATTCCACATTATAAGGCTTTGTAGCAAGTAATAATAATAATGATGATGATAATGATGATGATGATGAGGTTGGAAGGGACCTTGGAGGTCATCTAGTCCAACCCCCTGCTCAGGCAGGAAACCCTATATCATTTCAGACAAATGGCATGCCATAGCATGCCAGCAACTGGTCTGCACAAGCAAACAAAGCCCCATCCGTGGGATGTAGCAGCACACAAAACCACGCACTCTCTGGTCCATGGAAAAACCTCTCTCCACAGAACTGATCCCTGATGCCCAAAAGGTTGGGGACCTCTGAGCTAAACCATTTATGGCAACTACATCATCATCATCATCATCATCATCAAGTTGGAAGGGGCCTTGGAGGTCATCTAGTCCAACCCACTGCTCAGGCAGGAAACCCTATGTCATTTCAGACAAATGGCTGTCCAGTCTCTTCTTGAAAACTTCCAGTGTTGGAGATTCACCGCTTCTGGAGGCAGGTTGTTCCATTGGTTAATTGTTCTAACTGTCAGGAAGTTTCTCCTTAGTTCTAGGTTGCTTCTCTCCTTGATTAGTTTCCATCCGTTGTTTCTTGTCCTGCCTTCAGGTGCTTTGAAAAATGGCTTGACTCCCTCTTCTTTGTGGCAGCCCCTGAGATATTGGAACACTGCTATCATGTCCCTCCCCGTCCTTCTCTTCATTAAACTAGACATACCCAATTCCAGCAACCGTTCCTTTGTTGCTCTTCTCTGTACTCTTTCTAGAGTCTCAACATCTTTTTTACATCGTGGTGATCAAAACTGGATGCAGTATTCCAGTGTGGCCTTACCAAGGCATTGTAAAGTGGTATTAATACTTCAGGTGATCTTGATTCTATCCCTCTGTTAATGCAGCCTAACACTGTGTTAGCTTTTTTGGCAGCTGTAGCACACTGCTGGCTCATATTTAAGTGATTGTCCACTAGGACTCCGAGATCCCTCTCACAGTTGCTACTATTGAGCAAGATACCACCTATACTGTACCTGTACATTTGGTTTTTCTTGCCTAAATGTGGAACTTAACTTTTTTCACCATTGAATTTCATTTTGTTAGATATGCCCAGTTTTCCAGTTTGTTCAGATCCTCCTGTATCTTAAGCCTATCTTCTAGAGTGTTGGCTATTCCTGCCAGCTCGGTGTCATCTGCAAATTTGATGAGTTCCCCATCTATCCCATCGTCCAAATCATTGATGAAGATGTTGAAGAGCACTGGGCCTAGAACAGAGCCCTGGGGCACCCCACTACACACTTCCCTCCATGTAGATTGAGGATCACATGCTGAGTACAGCCGGTCAGCCAACTACGAATCCATCTGGTGGTGATGCTGTCTAACCCACATTTTTCTATCTTATCAAGTAGTAGGTTATGATCTACTTTATCAAATGCCTTACTGAAGTCCAAGTAAATTATATCCACAGCATTCCCCTGGTCCACTAATTTTGTCACTTGGTCAAAGAATGCAATAAGATTTGTCTGACATGATCTGTTTTTGACAAACCCATGTTGGCTTTTAGTAATGACTAAAATGCCTCTAGATATTCGCTGATTTATTGTTTGATTATCTTTTCCAGAATCTTCCCAGGTATTGAGGTAAGGCTGATAGGTCTATAGTTTCCTGGATCTATTTTTTTCCCTTTTTTGAAGATGGGAACTACATCAGCTCTTTTCCAGTCCTCTGGTAGTTCTCCATTTCTATTGCAGAGTCTCTTATATTTTTTCATATATTGGTTTATGCATTAACAGTTATCTAAAAAAAAGAATCCATGAGGAAATAGCATGCAGCACATAACAAAATTTGTAGTAAGAATCTAAACTTTTATTTTGCTATGTGCATGGTAGAGTTTAATTAAAAACTACATTCTGTTATTTGCTAAATGCTTCTTCTCTTCCATCTCGTTTGTCACTAGAAACTTTTTTAGAAGTAGCTTTTCATGTATTTCTCCAGTTATTTAATACTGGTTTCAATTTTTTAAAAAAATTATTTTCTAGACCTTAAACCAACATTACTGGGATACATGTAGCTACTATTTTCTTAATTTCAGTATAAATTTGAATTCTGTACAGAAGAAGGCAAAGAGACTACCAATTCCTTTTTTTCTTTTTCCAGGGAGGAAAAACTAAAAGAAAACATGAATATTGTTGGTTCAACAAATAAAAAGTCTGATAAGACATGAGATAAAAATGCCATTTTTACCTCTCTAAATAAATTGTCAAGAGTTACATGGGTTTTGGTTTATCTGATGATAAAAAAGCATGTATGGAAAAGCAGCAGGATGGAGCTGATAGTGAAAAGAAAAGGTAAAGAACAGTAAGGCACCTATTTGCCCAAGTATTATGTACAAAGTCATACAATTGGTGAATATACAATCTGGAAACAAAACATTTGGTTCCAACCACGATATTGGAGTAATATTTAACTAAAGTATAGATTTGGCAATAGCTATCAACTATGGAATGAAAATGGTGTCATCAGTTGTGGTGAAATTCTTTATGGAATGAAAATGGTATAATTACTGTAATAGGTAAGTAGATGGAAAATGACATCTGACTCTATCCCACTTGATTTGCACAATTGCTCTATTATAACTGTGCAAAAAATAGAAGGGAAATTCATATGACATTTAATAAGGCAACTGTTAAAACTAATTGTACAGAAAATGTTTCAATCTGTTGTCAAGAGAAAAGATGTAACAGCCCAAACTGTTTCACCAGAATTGTTGTGACATTGAAACTAAAATTGTAGAAGAACCATTTTCTTTGTAGGAAAAGCAGGATATCTGTATCATAATAAAGATCAATCCTAATCTTTACACCAGAATTGTTGTGACATTGAAACTAAAATTGTAGAAGAACCATTTTCTTTGTAGGAAAAGCAGGATGTCTGTATCATAATAAAGATCAATTTAATTATGTTTTTTTTTAATGTATTGCCTTTCAAATTAAAACACTTCTCTTTCCAAATAACCATATAGCAAGACAAACAGGAAATGAACAGTGTTTAAATTATACTTACAGGAAATCTAACTACAGAGACATCAGTCTTTGTAGCCTCGACTAGAAAATCCATCCAAAAGTCTACAAGTTCATTTTTGCCTACTTGTTGATCTGGATTCAGCTTCTTAAAGTGCTGATATATCAAAATAGTCTCCACAATGGACTTGAGATACCTAGGATAAATCAGGAGAAAACAAACACTAGTTTGCAACCTTTTATATTATTGCTTGCAATCATTCTTTATTATTGCTTGTAATCTTTACCGCATTCTTTTTCTACACAGACCACAAAGCACATCACAAAACTGATTGGGTAAACATGGACAGAGCCCTCTTTTCATCCAAGCTGGTACTTCACTATGTTTTTTTTAATAGCTTCCACCTTGTGCTTAGGATAATATAAATCACACTGTTCTGGATAGATTCCTTACTACTGTACAGACAGAAGGAAACATATTTTTCTCCCATTCTTAAAATTAATAAGTGCACTTCTTTTTTTTAGTCAAGAAAATACTTCCATGTTAGTGGTTACTTCTAAGAATTATTTCCAGAAAGACGGGTGCATCATAAATGGAAATATGCCTCACTGAACTGAAGCCTGAATAAACAAAAAAACCTGTATGGATAAATAAAGATGGAAATGGAACATACGATGATTCTCTTATCTCTTCTCTGGATCTGGTTTCAATCACTCCCCATCACAGTTTGAACTCAAATTGACTCAGGGAATTATAGTTGCCTAGCAACTACAATCCATTTTTCTTACCTTGGAACCCAGCAAAATTTCTGACATAGTTTTTGCTGAAAGTCAGCTAAAGAACCATTGTTCCAGACCTACTTGCTATCTTATTGCTTGGTGTCTTTTTAAATGTAAATACCATACCAAAATCTCTCATTGATCCAACAAAACAGCCTTGAGCAAAACATCACGCAGAAGCTACATACTGTAAAATAACCACTTGCGTCAACTCCTCATTGTCCACATATTGATTTAAAACTGGAAGGGTTATGAGTGACCAAGATTAAGGGGAGAGAAGGAAATGGACGCCAACTATTCTAGGTTTGCACCCATCTTTACATGGGCTGACAGTTCATTTAAATTATTTATAAAAGATTCTAAACGGCCATTATCTGCCTACAAGAGGTATAAAGTGAGTCAGATGTATAGAATTAAACTGGCCAGTCCATTTTTAAAAAAGTTTGTTCTTTGTCCACCTCCATTCTCTGGTGCTTTGATCTTTTTGCTCGGCTTCTAACCCCTGTTCTCTAGAAGTAGCTTATCTGGGCTGCAAAACTCAGGATGATCATAAAATGACAGCAAGGAGAATTTTTAACATCTTCTCACTCACGAGGAAAACAGTGTGTTAAACTGGATTTAAGTAAGATTAACTTTCTTTTTTTTCCTGAATTTTACAGTTTGAATCCAGAATCAAAACTCAAAGTGCTTACTCAGGAAAAAAAAGAAGCAGAAGGATACTTAGGTATTTTATGTATGGTGTACTTTCATCCTCAGGTGGTCAACATGGTGTTCAAAATGGTTTATTCACCCATCTTTAGAATGCAACTATATCTGAAAATTAAACGTACATTCATGACACAATAATGTATTGCTTACCATGCTGGTGTCTTCAACTTGAATAGTTTTTCTGAGGCATGGATCACTCTTGTGTGATCATTTGCCAAGACACTGGCTCCCAGGAAAAAACCCACTTCCCAGTAGCTTTGTAATTTCTCCAAGTTTCCCTTCTTCCCAAGCAGGCTGCTTATTTTAACTCCTGAAGAAATTAAAATTGTATTTTAGATATAATGGTGGGAATTCTGAAACCCAGAACCCCAACCCATTTAGAAACTGTCAAGCTGAGGAATATAGACATACATCTCTCAAATTTAATAGGTTTAATAAACCTCAGCAGAAGCTGTTACTAAAGTACTACTATAAATTTAAACACTAAGTCACTGCCTAATTTCAGGGTAACATTGTTTTCATATATTTATGATTCCCTCTTCATTTCTGCACAGGTTTTACTAAATTCAGAGATAAGGTCAAAGATAAAACTATGAGGTTTCAGGGGACCTAGCAGAAACTGATAAAAACGACAATGTGTTGTCAACAGATGTCACAAAATATTGCTACGGAGCAACCTTCAATTCTTTCATCAAGGTCTCAGTGGGAAGTCTATAAAATTGAATTTAGGTGTTTCTGTTTCTCAGTAATTAGAAATTTGGCCTGCAATACAGGTAGTCAATCCTCTACTTAATAGTAGTAGTAGTAAAGTTGGAAGGGACCTTGGAGGTCATCTAGTCCAACCCACTGCTCAGGCAGGAAACCCTATACCATTTCAGACAAATGGCTGTCCTGTCTCTTCTTAAAAACCTCCAGTGTTGGAGCATTCACCGCTTCTGGAGGCAGGTTGTTCCACTGGTTAATTGTTCTAACTGTCAGAAAGTTTCTCCTTAGTTCTAGATTGCTTCTCTCCTTGATTAGTTTCCACCTGTTGCTTTTTGTCCTGCCTTCAGGTGCTTTGGAAAATAGCTTGACTCCCTCTTCTTTGTGGCAGCCCCTGAGATATTGGAACACTGCTATCCTGTCCCCACTCGTCCTTCTCTTCGTTAAACTAGACATACCCAATTCCAGCAGCCGTTCCTTATATGCTTTAGCCTCCAGTCCCCTAATCATCTTTGTTGCTCTTCTCTGTACTCTTTCTAGAGTCTCAACGTCTTTTTTACATCGCGGTGACCAAAACTGGATGCAGTATTCCAAGTGTGGCCTTACCAAGGCATTGTAAAGTGGTATTAACACTTCACGTGATCTTGATTCTATCCCTCTATTAATGCTGCCTAGCACTGTGTTGGCCTTTTTGCCAGCTGCAACCATTCATTTAGTGATGTTACAAAAGCACTGGAAAAAGTGGCGTATGACCATTTTTCCCACTTACAACCATTGCAGCATCACCAGGGTCACTTTTTCAAAATTTAGATATTTGGCAACTGGTTCATATTTATGACAGTTGCAGTATCCCAGAGTCACGTGATCCCCTTTTGCAACCTTCTGGCAAGCAAGGTCAATGGGGAAGATTCATTTAACAACCAGGTTACTAACTTAACAACTGCAGTGATTCACTTAACGATTGTGGCAAGAGAGGCTGTAAAATGGGGCAAAACTCACTTGACAACTGTGTCACTTAGCAATAGAAATTTGCGGTCAAAAGCTAATATTATTCATAATACCATGTATTAACCCAATAACCTAATGAAAGCTGGAAGAATGGAAATGTGATAGTAGGTAGCTATTACAATGAATTCTACATTTATAACAAGATAAATTCTTGCTGTTCAAATAGAATATACCAAAGGGAAATAGGAAGATTTCACTGGATCAAAATGTTTTACTTGGAAAATTAAGTTCAATGTAAAATTATTCAGAAGAATCAACAGAGTTCATCCACCTCTGTTCATTTTATTCAATGATACCCCTGAGCTGTTACAGGTCTGTAGGGGGGGAAAAAATCCTAAAACACCAAATTTGCTCAAAGTGATCACTTGATAAAATCAATAGGGCAGTCTAAAATGTATGCTCTTGTAATAGAAAATGTATTTGAAATGAAGACATGGCTAAAAAAGAAAAAACTGTGACTTCCAACATGAGATTGCTTCCCATAAAACAGAAGGTGGCAGGTATCTTGTCACTGAATTTGATTTGCTTGTGAATCAGTAAACTATAATTACCAACTTTCCGTAATTCAAAAGAGGTATCAAACTGATGCCCAGCAGCCAAGAGGAGGACTGCATAATTAATTCCTGACTGTAATGACGGTTCTGACTCAAAGGCCTTCTTGAACCTGAAAGAGAAAACATTTCTTTAAAAAGTAATTCATTAAGAGGCAATTTAGGACATTTTTAAATGATTACCACAATCGCTTTAATACAACTCAACTAATTTATCCAAGCATAACATCCTCTGTTATATTCCAACTCATGGTTATTTTAGGAGCCCAACATATACATCCTCCTCCTCCTCTCTTTTCCTTCTTCTGTGTTTTTCCAATTATGAAAACTATATAACTTGGTAACAGCTTTCTTATTTTTCAGTGAAAACTAAATATATATGTTTTCGACATTAAAGTTTTTTTTTACACTTATATTAGAAATATGATTTTAACCCGCTCACTATACGCTATTTAAAACAGATTATTCCTATTGTATGGATCGACAGAAATAAATGTAGAAGGTAATGCAATATACTAGATCAGACATGTCAAACACAAGGCCCGGGGGCCGGATGCAGCCCACAAAGTGGTTTCATGTGGCCCACATGAGGGCAACCGCAATGCTGATGCGGCCCTCAGTGAAATTGAGTTTGACACCCCTGTACTAGATAGAAGAAAAGATGTAAACAAATTAGTCAGGAATACAGCGTAAATGCATTTTAATATAACACCAAGGTAGGCATGTAGAAGCCCTCTCAAAAGACAGCTTCCTGCCCCATATTGTCTAATCTGATTTTTAGATTGTAAATTCATTATTAGACAACCGTCCTCTTTTATTACTATTTCCCAACTTCTCTTTCTAATCATGAAAACAGTCATAACTGTCATAACCAGTAATTATTAACAGTGTTGTTCATCAAAAGTTATAAATGACAGAATTAACATCACATGTTCTAACTCATTCTGAAAAGTTTACTCCTGTTGAGTAAGTGCTGTACAATAAATATTATGTTGCACAGAACTGCCCATTCGGAAGTATCCAGGAACATGGAATATAGACTTTTAGTCAAGGTAAAAGTCTGATTGGCAAGTGCTGATGGGAGGCTCAAAGGGATGGGTCTTTCCCAGCCATTCCCTGGAAGTGCCACAGATTGAACTTTGGACTTTGAACATGCAAAGTATGTGCCCCAGCACTGAACAGTATTAACAACAGTAAATAATAACAATAGGCTCTTATATTCACATAACAAATAGTTACTGCATTGGTTTTATTGCTGTTGGTTTATTAAAGATTTCTTAGATAACAATAGCCCAATTTCATTTTGTCCCTATTTTAATTAGAGCTCCCACTGGAGCTGAGATGAAACGTCTGCAAAAAAGGCATCTCCACTGTACTTTAATATTGAAGTCAACTAAAAGTTTGCTCTTACTCTTGTAATTATGCTAAAAATGTTCTCATATCTCCTGCAATTCCCTGAAGTATGACAAAAAAGTATGTTCAGTTTATCAAAATATTAATTTTCAATTTAAAAAAATCTACTAGATGCTCTTTATTTATGATTAAGTTGACAGACACATTATAATTTATTCCAGCTTTATCTGTCATTCCTGCCGGTTTATTTGATAACAGCAAATGAGAATTCTGTCACCTATAGGGAGAAGGGATCCTCTGAGAAGTTGCTAATTCAGCATTAAGATCATCAGATCATTAAGATCTTTCCTTTCCCTTGATGTAAAGGAAGACTCTCTGAAAGAGAGTTCTCCATTTACGAAATGGATAGGAAGCTGGTTTTTACCACTTCGTCTCTGCACTAAAGTCTCCTTTGGTCACTCATCAAATACAGTCCTGAATATTTTAAAAGCATTTTACATATTACAGAATTCATTGTAGTATGGAGGATTCCCTTATTATTAATAAAAAATGATTGGTACACAGATATAGGTAGTAAACAAGGCAGAAATATTATAAAAGAATACAGTATGTATTTGCCAGATATACTGCTCTCCAACAGCAACAGACATAACAGCAGTGTAAGTTGACAGGATGGACCAATGTTGCATGGAAGATAAAATACCACAGGGAAGGCATGTCCATCATTTTCTTTCTATATCCTTTCTAAATGCCCCACAAGACAAAGTTAAAGGCAATGGCTAGGAGTCCAGTGAAAAGAGGGACTACAGCCATCTTCATTCTAAAAATACATATAATTCTTCAAGCACAATTAATATTATTATTGCTGCAAAAGATTTGAATTTAAAATTTAATTTTAAAGACACCTTTTGCAAGTAAGGTATCTCTTCGAGAATGTAACCAGCTGAGGACTGAAAGCCTTTCTCTTGCTCCTTGAGTACAAACTGAATGTGCTAGGAAAGAAATAGCTAGATCTGCCAAATGGATAGCTTGCATATCTGGGGGTAAGGGGCTTTGCTGCAGTGCCAGCTATCAGGAGAAATATTTTCGCTGGTATAGCACCCACAAGCTTTGGATTGCTTGCATTTAAACAACTACTGTATGGTAAGATTTGGTCATTTTCCAGAACTCTTTATCACACAAAATAATTGCAAGTCAACAGCCAGTCAGCAACTGTTGACGACTATTGTTGATTGACCACATTTTCCTAAAGTAATGTTAAAAAGGGTAAAGAAAAGCAAAAAGAGTGCCAATGATTCAAGACTTCCCATATCACTCTCAGCCCCCCTTTAAAAAAAAAATAAATCTCTGAGAAACTCTATTCTTTCTGCTAATTTTTAACCCTGTTCAAATGTTCATGAGAGTCACAAGGTTGGGGAGGGGGGGGGAAACAAAGTCCAAGCCGAAAGACAACTCAGGGTTCTATCAATTCAGAGCTAGCATCAAAAATCCAGATGGTTGCACTCCCAGTCAAACCCACAGGAGAAATGGCAGTCACATTCTCTCTATTTTCCTTTGGAAGAATAAAACCTTCCCACTAATCTATTGCCTGCCAGTTATGATGATGGCTATCCTTTTTCTCATCTGACATGAAAATGTGAATCTGAAATAAATAGATAGTATAGCAGGTTCATTTTACACTGTATTCATATTAGCATATTCAATGATAATTATAACATTGCTTGTTTGGTTATGGATTACTGTGTCGTGTGAATACCGTCACTGTGATTTTGAACCATGGTTTGCAGCTTAGGCAGGGAACCAGCCATGGTTTCTTTTTAAATAAGTGTAACAAATGATGGCTTGGCCTGAGATAACTACAGAAGAAGAAGGCAACAAGGCACTGATTTGTTCTTTCCTAGGATCACTTGCTGTGTCCACTCAGCCAATATGGGCATGAGTTGCTCAAAGAAATGATAGCTGTTCAGCGGTTTTTCCTTTTTCTGTCCCATCATGTGCTGTTCAAATGGAGAGGCCAAGGGCATCAGGAGAAAGAGCAAGCAATGATAGGTAATCAGTGACTTTTATATCTTTTATATCTTCACAGTGATTAGGAACACTTCTTCACTAGTTGCATAGCTGATATGGACTATGGGAAAGGAATTGATGTAAATATATTCACTATCTAAAACCACTTTAATCCAATACCATGACTGTCTTTAGCATTCTTAACTGCTCTGAACATTTGTAACAATAGTCCAGAATATTCTATTGATTTGTTATTGGCAAATTGTTTTATCTCTTCACTTTCCAGTACCTCTTCTCCTTTCTGTTGCTCTTTTTCCATCTATTATAATTTGCTTTCTTAGTAATGCTGGCTTGGAAGCTGGCATCAGACAAATTCTGCTGTCTGCAAGCTTTGGGTCTGCCCCCATACCAATTTAACTTCTGCCTGGCTTGTTGGTCAGTCTCCTGACAATGATGGAGAAAATCCTTTCCCCCAGTTTATGAGGTCAGCATAAAAAGCCACAGGGGAAATCGGACAGCTAATAATTAACCTCTTATCTCTGTGTTGATATTAACCGAAATCTTATCGCCTAGCAGCATTCACTCTTGTTCTCCATGTAAAAACAAGCAGATCACAAGAAAAGACCAAAAGATAAGCTACAGGGATTTGAATTATGCTTTAGTGGGCATTTCAAAACAATTTTATATATTTACGTGTGATGAAGGTAGAATTGCGATGGCAAAAAAAAAGATGACTGATTCCAAACAGGTGTGCAGTCTAGACCCAATTATGAAATGAGTCTTTGCAATGTAGATGGTGAGATGACCACACCTTCTATTTGATTAGCAGAATATAAGGAAACATTGGCGAGAAATCATTATGAAAAAGAACCCTCCATTTTTGCATAAAGCTGAAATTCTCTAAAGTCAATGGAAAGATTAAAAAAAAAAACAGGGTTTTTTTTTCTCTTAGAACGCCCAGAACGGAATTCCGGCACCTTTTTTGGATGGAACCTTGTAGGGTAGGCAAGGCGGGTTGTATGACATCTGTGAGTTCCAGCACCTTTTTTTTTTTTTTAGAAAAAAAGCACTGAAACAAACTACCATAGTTTCTCATCTTTGCCAACATTCAACAGCATTTCATTTTAAAAAGTACAGTCAGTTGTGATCAGGAATTGTTTTAAAACATTCCAGAGATATTTTTAATTTTTTAAGCACTATATTTTTCAATGTCCTAAAAACAAACAAATAAAACATTAAATAGAATAATATACCAAACACATCAATTTCCTAGAGAATGATAGGAAACAGAGACTCTTTCGGAAACAGAAGTGATATCAACTGCAGAAAAAAAATGTTCCATAACTGTGTGACCATCACAGAAAACCTTTTGTCTAATTTGTTCTGAAATTAGTGCTTCTACAACGGTTGTGATTAAGACACAATGAACTCAGATTTGTTTAGTACATTATATTATTTCTATATGCGTAGGGGCTGTTTTCTTCAACAGACAAAAGCAAGTTAAATGGAAAATAAAATCAATTGTCAAAAATTAAATTATCTCTGACGTTTGCTGATTTATTATAGCCAATCAGTCAAATGTATAGTTATGTTAAAGAGTAATATAATATGCATAGATATTCTTATAGTGTAATCTACCTGGAAAATATTACCTAAAAAATCTGAAAACTATCCAATCTGACTAAATTTTACTTAGTCATTATAAGTAAATTATAAGTAAATTAATCCTCAACTTACAACCATTTGTTTAGTGACTGTTCAAAGTTAGAATGGCACTGAAAAAAAGTGATATGATTATTTTTCACACAACTGTTATAGCATCCCCATGGTCGCGTGATCAAAATTCAGACACTTAGCAATTGACTCATATTTATGACGGTTGCAGTATCCCGAGGTCATATAATCATCTGTTATGACCTTTTGACAAGCAAAGTCAATGGGGAAGCCAGATTCACTTAATAATCATGTTACTAACTTAAGAACAGCAGTGACTCACTTAACTGTGGCAAGCAAGGTCATAAAATGGGGCAAAATTCACTTAAGTGCTGTCTTGCTTAGCAACAGAAATTTTAGACTCTATTGTGTTCATAAGCCGAGGGCTACCTATATTAATTAATTCACATATAAGACTGCTTCAGAAACACATTTGAAGAATAAAAATTCAGTGTTCTTTTAATATCAAAAAAGTAAACTCATAGAGCCATGTGGTAAAGTGATACTTACCAAAAAGCACCTTGATCTCGACTTTCAGTGTCTTTAAATCCAGAATCCAAGAACATGTCTTTATAGATTCGTCCCACAAGACAGTACATATCAGAAGCAACTTGGCTCTCTTGCTCCACCAGAGGTATCATGATATCTAGAGCTTTCTGTCTGTCACCAAGTAGATTTCGTCTGTTTTATTTTAAAAATCAAAACAAAACAAACATTTGAATATTCCATAGCAATAGTCCTAATGCATTATCACTTCACGTGTCAAAGATGATGCAGAATGTCTGACTAGGAAGAAGGGAGAAGAATTCTGATTGATATTTAAATGTTCCGTTTGAAAACAGTTTCTTTTGTTCTTGGTAGAGAAATATTTTATAGGAATCTCTATTTATTTAAATTGCCTGACTCTCAAATGACTCTCAGTGGCTGATATGATTAAAGAGAGATGGAAAGTGGGGGAGTTCAAGAAGAGGGTATATATTCCTGTAAAAAAAAATCAACTGTTACATTATAAAAGAAAACTTATATAGGTTCAAGAAACAACCTAACCCATGGCTGGGAAGCAAAGTCACTTTTTCAAAGGAACTCTTGTAGAGTGGGAAATTTGATGGGGGAGGGGCTGGATGCTGTTCCAGAGAACAGACTCCACAATAGAGAAGGCATATTTTCAATAATCTATTTCTCTGAAGAGACAGGGAGTGCCTTCATTCTGTGCTATCTTAAAGGACAGACAGAAACTACTGGAGACAAAATCCCAAATAAGAATCAGTTGTCTAACAAATTACAAAGATGGACACATTTTTCAATTTTGTGTATTGTACCATATTAATAATCTGAAACACGAATGTATAAAAGGGATATAGCAAAATGATGCTTAATCATTCTTGCCCTTCTCCCTCATTTTTAGAATATGTCCCACTATCATAGAGCTAATAATAGAATCGTGCACTGTAAATCCATATCATTTTGTTTGCATCTCCACTGTGCCTGCTTCTTTTCTAGGCTGAGCCATGTTAATTTGTGTATTATGCTTTTGAGTTTGTTTCATGGACCATTCAATCAACATTGGTCTCTTCAGGCTTTTGCTGTGCTCAAACTGCAGAAAATAAAGTTAAATAGTGATATAAAGCCAAAGTCAAGATGGAAAGTCAAATCTACTTATTGTAGAAGCAAGAGGCACAGAATGAAAAAAAATGCCTGAAGCATTTTTTTTTTTTAAGAAAGAATGGAAGGATACTTTGATTGTGGACAAACTGCCATCAAGAAAGAGGAGAGTCCTTACCTATTCAGTGCAAATGCATAATGAAACTTCACATGATGATGCAAAGCCAAGTCAAAGGTTGGAAGTTTTTCTAATGCCTCTACCAGTTTCACAATAGAATCATAATCCTTCCAAAAAAGATAAATAAAAGAATGTATTAAAACATGATCTCATATCAGGCAGGGAAAAAAACACAATCTGTCTAAGTCTTCCTTGGCCTGAAAGAATAAAAACTACATACTGAATGGATGTAATACCTACAATACAATACAATACAATACAATTGGGACCTACAATAATAGTATCATTCAGTTCTCTTTGGTCTACAAGACAAAGGAGTCCCTGCGGATTCTACTCTGCTAGTCATTGCCAATTAGTCGTTTATCATCTCCGTTTCAAGGCCACTGAGCCAGCACTCTCTGAAGATGTTTATGTGGTCATGTGAACAGCATGACGTCGCTGAGTGCTGTTTCGTCCCTTCAAAGGGATACCTATTTATCTACTTGCATTTGCATGCTTTCAAACTGATAAGTGTGCAAGAGCTAGGTGAAGACGGTCACTCACCCCATGGCGTGAGTGCTCAGGTCTCGAACCCAAGCTATTAGCTTTCCACCCGACAAGCCCAGCACCTTAACCACTGAACCACTGTGCCATCCTTTTGGTTTACAAAGTTGACTCTAATTACATTCAAAAGGGAGGCAATTGCTTTTCATTGCTTTCAAACTTTTGAAAGGGCAACAAAAAGAACAGATAATTTTAAATGTTGCATGTGATTCAAGAGTAGTGATAGTTTTGATCACTGTGAGATTTAAAAACATACATATGCTGTATCTCCCTCCTTCCCTTCCTTCTTTTGCAATTGGAAATATCTTTTGAATTTTGGTATGAAATATTTCCATAATCAAATCAAGTCTTTCTGTCAAACAATGCAATAAAAAATCTCAAAGAACAGGGCAGGTTGAGGACAATTAACCTTGACTCTCACATCACATAGCCCTCACATACCTGTTGAATTTTCTACATATGTTGATAGGTCATTAATAATGTTATTATCTTTCACTCTCTCAATGCCCTGTAATAACTATTTCATTTTGGCAGTTTCAGACAGCTATTATGCTTAAGCACTTCTGGAAGTGCAACATGTTTTCCCTTTCCATAGTGCAGTATCTTTATGAGCCATTCCCTTCCCTTCCCACCCTACAAATAACAGCACATATCCCACTGTCTGGCTTGTGCATCTTGCTGTTCTATCTGAAATAAGGAAAGATTTTACTTCACATCCAAACTACTTTCAGACAGTTTAACAGGAACATGGGCAAGCTTTATTGACATGATTACAACAAGAAAGACAATAAACCAGACATGACATTTCCATATACAAAAGACATATGCTTAATAATCTCCTCAGTATGGGTTTCCGTTACTCGGCCATCAACTGTATCCTGTGCTTTTGAGTGCAGACTTTAGCCAGTCTGAAGAAAATCCTCAGTATCTGAAATTCAGTTCTTTTTTAAAAAGCATCAATTCTGTAGAATATGTGATAGCAAGGCAGGGTATCATATAGAAATGGAATTTACTCCCATAATTTGCTGAATCTTTGTCATTGTGCTTATAATATAATGTCCCCCAATATGCATAATGGATTCTACTTTTTAAAAAAATAAAATCTGAATATGGTAACAACATTCATTTATTAAATCTGGCAACTGTTAAAAATATTTTCAGCCTGCCATGAGCATATGCGGTAGTGACCATTTACCCCAAGCCCTCTGCAGAGTCCACCTGGCCCCAATCCATTCTGTGTCAAGCATTTGTTCTGAGAACATCCGAAATAGCCTTTTAATATATGATAAATTTGAATCTCTCTGTAGTAAATTTAGACACTAAACGGCTACATATTTATACATTTCTAACTAAAATCATCCCTTTCTCGCCCCTGCCCACCCACCATCAAACTAAACCCGTTGAGAGGGAAAAAAAATGGGAAGATGGAGGAAAAATTGTGGAAAATCTGGTTTGGTAGGAACGACTGCTATTTTTAGGAAAGAGCATTCACTGTAAATTTCTTTACAAAGTCCCACTTGTTTCACTTCTGTTTGCATTTTCAGGAATGAGTACTTGTTTTATGCAAGCAAAAAATGAAAGTCTGGCAAACTGGTGGGATGCTGTAGTTTGCTGGCATATAAAAAATAATCTATAGCTCAGGGAATTGGGGATTAAGTGGGTGGGGTGATCTAAAAAAGTTTAGTAAGGACTAAGGATACTCAGGGAACATAAAATGTTGAATGACCTATGCTGACTAGAATTGAATAGAGGCCCTCTCATATGTTAATGAAACAGAGTTAATAGAAGTAATACATTTAAATTAAACATTCAATTCCTACCTGAATATCCCTGTAAGATAACAGCAGGTTTATCACAATGTCAGCAGACAAAAGCTCAATGTTATCCACTCGCTGTCTTATCCTGGCCAATTCTGCAGCTAATTCCTTCCCAGTGTACAAGTTACGAGCTTTTCTGATATCGTTAAGTATTGATTCCCTGAAGTATTGGCTAGAATAGAAAACAAATAATCAAGTCATAAGATATAAACATTGTAATTTAATTCAAATTACTGGCTATCTGACAGACCTGTCACTGGCTACATATTTTACTCGTAAGTCATTTCTCACTAGGAAGCAAAGATCTTCAGTGGCAAAAATGCTTCGCCTAAAGTTGGATAAGCAGTTGACTTGGTCTTTGTGAAACGTATTGGCACTCCGCTTCCTTGAGGCATTATTTCTTTGGGGAAGGAGGAGAAAGGAATGGTAAGAAACTGGAGATTCCTCTCAATTTGGTCCTCTGAACATCCCTTAAAAATGTTCACAAATCTGTAGCGACTGAGGGTTCAAGAGGGACAACTGAATGGTCCAACTGATTATTCAGCGTGCCCATCTCTATTTTTAAAAAAATCCCCAGTTCATTCCCAGTTCTTACCATCATCACACAGGATGTTAGATGGCCTTAGGCAAGCTTCTCAGCTTCATCCTTCCCCTAATTGTATGTAATACAGTAAAATAAGGATGTTGGTACATTAATTAATTAATTTGATATGTTTTATTTATTATTAAATTTCTATACTGCCTATCTCACCAAGGCTTTTCAATGTTTCTAATATATAAATGTCAGGTATGAGTGTTATCAAATTTCCCCTGTAAATGCCTTACTATTAAACAGCAAGAGGCCTCCCTGGGTTGCCATTATAATTCTGAAGAAGCAATTCATTTCCAAGCTGAATGTAAAAGGGGATCTTTTTTCCCCAGGCTTCTTTGCTCTACTTCAACTCATCCCCAAATATGCCTATCACTTCCAAGCAAAGCATCTTCCCCATAAGCTTAAAAGGGAAGTTGTATCTTATTTCCAAATGGTGGAGGGTTTAAGGCAAAGTGGTTTCTCTCCTTTCTGATCTACTTTTCATCTCTTTGGACTTTTATTAATCATGAAAGCTTTTGACAGATGGAAAAATGGACAGAACAATGGACCATTACTAATCTGAAGAAGGTGATATGGATGGAGATCCCAGCCTGGTGCTCTAATAGCCTTAATCAGAAGTAATCTGGAAGCCAAAGTTTAAGCAACTAGCCATCCTAACATGAAATTACTCTGATACATATGAACAGAATATTGTATTGGCTGCTGTTTTCAAATGCTATGTCTGTTACACTTACTGGGTCCATATGATTTTCTTGAGGGGTCCTTGGTGTTCCCTGAGCTTGCTTGTTTTCTTGCAGACGTTTCATTACCCTAACTAGATACCACCATCAGTGCTAATAAGGAGTGCCATTTGCTGTCAGTTTATATCCTGGTGTCTTGCCTGTCTATGTGGGCGGGGGCGGTTTTAGAGATTCTTTGGCCGGGCCACTTACTAATGGCTCTTTGGTAGTTTCTTGATTGGGGTATTGCTTACTTGTTGATCTGAAAGTGACCTTGGAGTTAATCTATGGTGGAGAGGTGCTGAGTCTTTTTCTTTTTTGGACTAGTTGATTGTCTCTTTTGCATAGTCTATAGATGTTGTTAATGTCTATGTGTCTACTGATGACTGATCTGTCAGAGCACCAGGCTTCTAGAAATTCCATGGCATTTCTGGATTTGGCCTGGATCTGGTGTAGGATTGTCTAGGTCTTGGATTGTCACATTTTCTCAGCTGAAACTGTAGTTAAATCTGTCTGTATGTTGTGAAATTAAGAATTTTCGTCATGCCTTTTGACAGCCAGTTGGTGCTCATGGATGCGTTCTGCCAGTCCACTGCCTGTTTGTCCTACATGGTGGCTGTTGCAGTTCTTACACTGTATGTAGTAGATGACTCCTGTTTTTTTTCTTCTGAGGTTGCTGGGTCTTAGGATGTTTTGAAGGGCTTGTGTGCTATGCTGATTTTATTTTTATGGCAAATTTGAATGTTATAGCTGAAGACACTCCATACCTTGAGCTGCCCTGTGCCATCTTCAAGAGCTGAATAAAGCGGTCAACTAAGGGTAAGCATATTGGTCCCAGCAACAGTTCAAAGTTGGGTTGCATCAATTCAGTCAATCCCTTCATGAAACTGCTGTCACAGCAATAGACTTTGTTATGGGGAGTTATCATGTATGGAACAAATATATAATTGCCAGTGCACATCTGCACAAAAGGAGGAAAAGGGTGTGTTTAGCAATGTAAATTATAACATACATAAGATAATCTTAAAGTCAATATACTTTGTAGAATGTGACTAACACCTGACATAATTTTCAATTAAATCTCTTTAATTCATGCAGGTTTCCTTGTTAATAGATGACATTGTATACTTATATGATTAACTCTCCACATTTCTTTCCTTATGGGAACATATAGCAACTCATACCAACAAAATACATCTAAACAACAAAAGCAGCAACATATATAACATAAAAAATAATGATCAGTTAATTAAAAGTGGAAAGTTTTTCCATGTTCCCTCTACCGAAATAATGATACCTCTGCCTTCCCCACACTGGTGTCCAGATGTGATAGACTACAATTCCCATCTGTCCTAAACTGAATGTTCATAGTAACTGCGAATAAGGGAAACTATAATCAAACATATCTGGAGAGTTATCAGATTGGGAAAAAATTGGCAGAACATTACTATTTAAGGAGGGAATTCTTCAAAGTATCTTTACTGAAAGAACAACCTGCACATCAGACAAGTTTGGACATAAAGAAGCTCTGCAGGTGAACAAATATTTGGATTATGCAAGGGTAAGGAATTATAGTAATGGATCTCTATTTTACTGTTTACTCTTGTAAACATGATAGATATTCTTTGTAGAACTGAAAGGAGACAACTATAATTTTAAATGATGGCATAGGAAACAGATACCATAAGAATAAATTCTTGGTATTATACAACAGCAATTTGCATTATAATCAGTGGTGGGATTCAAATATGTGAACAACCAGTTCTCTGTGTGGATGTCACTTCCAGAAGTCTATTCTGGGCCTGGGCAACAAAAAATTAGCTACCAGTTCTGCTGAACCTGTACGAACTGGTTGAATCCCACCACTGATTATAATGCATTATAATATATACATTAAATTATAATGTAAAGAATAGAGAGAAGTTCAAAGTTTATCAAGGTTGAATTATTGAAATATCATCAAGCATCTTAACTATATTTTTCACATCAGGATTAAGCATAAAACTTTCACATAACTTTTAAATATTTAGACATGAATATACTCAAAGTTTTAAATAACTTTAAATTACTGCCCTGTCTGGAAAGCATAAGAAAGGATACAAAAAGACAAAAAACAATTTCTCTAAAAGAAACATTTTATATTTGCTGAAAAACAAAGCAGGGTAAGGCATCGCCTGCTTAAAAATATAGTATCAAGCAGCTCAGTTGGCATAGTTACTCCTTTAAAGTAGAAGAATCAACAAAGCAATGGACTGAGATGGAAAATACTTGGTTTTAGGCTATGAATGTAAACTTGGTCAGCCAGTTGGCTTTCATGCCTAAGCAGGAACTACAATTCATAATCTGCTGATAAATAGCCAGATGCCTTAACCACTAGACCAAATTGGCTCTCATCCTGCCAAACTAATGCTATCAAAATTATTACAAACTAAAATGTAACTTGTTTTATTTAAAATATTAATAATTAAGAGAAAAGATCAAATTTTTAGAGATCTTAAGCTATAATGCTAATACTACTATAGTTATGCTCATGATGAGAGCACACAGACAGACAGAGATACGCAAGCTGTGCTCATTCTTTTTGCAATTCCCAACTTTCTCAACAAGCACAGCCCTCCTCAATGTGCTGGCTAGAAATTCTGGAAGCTGGAGGACTAAAACAGTGGTGCCCATACTTTCTGGCCTCAGGGACTGGTTTCCATGGATGGGAAGGTCGGGGGCACAACGTAGATCCCATATGCAGATGAAGTTTCGCTTGTGCGGCCCGTGGGTTAGGGATCCCTGGACTAAAGTACTGGAAAACAAAAAAACTGTGAAATAATAGCCTAACCTAAAATAGATAAAATCTGAATTCCCTAGAAAGAAATTCAGGTTTCTCTACAGAGTTGGCCTCCACATAAACAAGCACAATGTTGATATAAAGTTCTACTTTTTGCAGTAATAACAGCTCTCTTTTGTTAGAAAGATCCTGTCAACTCAGAGAAGCTAAGGCATGTTAATTATTAATCCTCCCTTATTACATTAGGCAATATGCTTTTGTAGCAATCATTAGATCTTTTCTAATTATTCCCAAGAGGAAACACTAACAGGATGATGATGAATCGATTCTTCTTGCACAAATCTTATTTTGCCACTCTCAGAAAACACACATAATAACTATGTTAGAGCACTGTTGAAAAGTCCTTCCTGCAGCATTTTTTTGAGCAGTAGTAATAAATAGCAAGCTTCAGAGCCTATTAAGAGTTAGGAATGACCTTTGTCACTAGAATGGTGAAATGTGCACACGGGCATATGTGTGCACGTGCATATACACCCAGACTGATATTTTGCAACAGAATTAGGAATTTAAAATGCATAATATCATGCATAATTATTAAGATTTAGGGAAATTTTCTGATCTTTCATCACTGGCCTAAAGTTCACATTATTTGTGAACCTGATACTCATCACATTCTTTCTTCTGCACAGATTTCATCATTGAAAAGTAGATATCACCATCAATGAAGCAGTATGTTTAGTGACTGCTTCTCAAATCTACACCAATTGAAAAATATATATCTTCTCGCTGGCATTGCCTCACATAAGATCAGGAGAGAAGTTGCAGCAGACAAGAGAATGACCCTTGACATCCTCTGACGGACATAATGCCCCAAGCCAGCTGACTCTGATCTAGGAACAGCTTTATAGCAAAACCAATCATTCTTGAGGATACACAAGAACAAAATCAAATTAAAAGATGGAGGTGGGAGACCGTTGAGCAAGAAATAACATTAAAGGATATGGTTGAAGGATCCGACCTCCCTTATACTACTTGGAGGACCCTGAATAGGTTGAGTTACTACATAATTTTCAATTTATATTCTCTCTCTCTCTCTCTCTCTCTCTCTCTCTCTCACACACACACACACACACACACACACACACAGAATTAATGTCACTTGTGAAATTTCTCTAAGTCTATTAACAAACAGCAGTCCTATTTTTCTTCTCTGTTTGTACAAATTACTTGCTATTTCTCCTATGAGCCATTAGATATTTCTCAGTTGGAACAGACAGATTTTCCGAAATAAGTTGAGTATGTGCAAAGCAAAAGGATACTACAGTTGGACCAGAAACCTAGGCACGTGAACTCACCACATTTCATATTTATTTATTTAAGTTTTGAGGCCACCCAAATCCTTAATTTTGGTCAACTAACAACATAAATAGAAAAAAAACAGTGTAGAACATCTAGAATTGTTCACTTGCATTTCTGTTTTTGGAATTCAAAGCACAGTATCAGTAGTGGAATCCTTCAAGTGTTTGGGTTCTATCCTCTCCCAAGATTTGAAATGGACACCTAATATTAGAATCATCCTCAAAAACAGCACAATAAAAAACGTTCTTCCTGCGTCAACTTAGGAAGTTCACACTGCTCCAGGAGCTATTGATACAGTTCTACAGAGAAATGATTAAATCCATGTATAAATCCATATCTGTCTGGTTTGATACAGCAACTACAGTACGTAAACAGGACGGATACAGACTCCAGTGGATAATTAGGACTGCAGAAAAAAAGAACTGCAACTAATTTGCTTTCCATAGAAGATCTGTATATTATGTGGATAAGAAGGGGAACTGAGAAAATAACTGCAGATCTCTCTCATCCTGGACACTTCCCTTCAGGGTGCCGCTCTACAGCATTACATGCCAAAACAATTTTCCCCTCATGCCATCACTCTGCTGAATACCTAATCCTCATAGTACTGGTCTTATGTCTAAGTATATTCACTCAAGTTGTATGGCTGTAGTATTATTATTATTATTATCCTTCTCATCTTCTCTTATTGTTCCATTATTATGATTATTATAACCCCGCTGTTTCGCATGTACACTGAGAACTTCTGCACCTGAGACAAATTCCATATGTGTCTAATCACTTCTGGCCAAATAACGTATACTATTCTAATATTTTACTGTATTTTGCAATTTATCACTATTAGCTGCTTTAGACAGCATGCATGGAAATGTAATTAAGAGTAAATTAATTAACTATGTTTTAGGATTGTGATGACATAACATACACAATTTTTCAAATGCAGAAATAAAATGAATGAAAAGTTGGTTGCCTTCCTAAAACTTGAACCATTTCATACCAGAAATGTCTAAAAGGAATGCCATGGATGGAAACTTGCAACAAGATTTTATATCTAGCATATCAAAGAGAATACTCAGTTAATTGCTGATACTTCTAGCCAGGCTGAGAAAATTTAAGATTTTCATTATTATTACTAGAGGATAAAAAGTTGAGACAGTCCTCTATAATGACACTTCCCAAAGTTGCAGTCCTCGTGCCTAAAATATAATCATTTTCAAACACATTTCCTGGTTCAATTTTCTGATGTAGTCTTCAAATAGAGAAAAGAGACAAAAATATCCTATCCAGCTCTGCAAAACAATTCTCTTTGCAAATTGCCAAGAGGTACACAAGGGAATGCAGCATTTGGATAACTGTGATGCTAGCCAGATGAGGACTCCTAAGATAAAGCATCCTTCCTGCTAAGACCACCAAATAGTTTGAAGCTCATAGAAAGGAAGTCAAGTTCAATGATCATTCCTCATGAGACAAAACTTTCTTTGAACTCTGCATTTTTTAAAACTCTGTCCATGTAATCAGCATTCCTCCACAGCCCATGCACTTGAATCCTAAAGCGACCTGAGTTATCTGGCAAGAGTTTATTCAGTATTTTACTTACTATCAGATTTGAACTATCGAAGACAAGAGAACGGGTGTCTTTCTGCTCTTTTATCAGACAAGAGCAGAAAGGCATTCAGGGTGACTTTCTCATTTGAGCAAATATAGGGTAGGATAAATGTGGTTCTCCTGATTGCACTATTATGCCACAGTTATGAAACCTTAGAGTAGCATGATATTTAATCGTAGTCTGATTTCACAATTAATTTTTGTACTGAGAGAATTGG